GGCGGTTAGACTTAGAGTTAGTCATTGAAGAAGAAAGAATATGAGGAAGTTTAGAGCTAGCTATGGTAGGAGAAGGAGAAGGAGAAGGAGAAAATGGAGGAAGAGATGATGGTGGGTGGAGAGAAGAGGAAGGGGAAGGAGGGACACGTGGAGGAATGGGATTGGTGGGAGGAGGTGGGGTGGTTGCTGTAGGAGGGTGGAGGAAGACAGCAGGGGTTTGGTCTGAGACAGAGAGGGATTCACCGGCGGCGAAAGTGCAGAGAGCTAAGCCAGTGAGTCGGAGTGAACGGCAGTAGTCTGCGTGTGCAGCAGCTAGGTGGTGGCGGGCGTAGACTGCTTCTTTCATTAGGCGGCGGCGCTCCTTGCACCGTCGTACTGTGTCCTCGTTGTCTAGCTTCGACGCCGTGCAACCCATGTCCAGAAACAAAAGGAAAGGTAGAGAATACTCGCGGTGGCGCGTATCTAGGTGGTGGCGCCTGAATTCTTTGTAAGAGAGCGAGAGTAGAGTGCAAGAGAGTGAGGTGTTATAGTAGGTGTTCACTGGGCTGTGTATGTCCCCATCTCCTATATTTTCTCTCTGTTTTTTTTAATTTTTTTTGAATTTTAATTCAACTAAATTAATACTTAAAACGAGAAATAATTAGTGATATTTCTTAGATTAATGGTAAGTGCTTAGTTTATTGTTGTTGGTGATTTAATAAGGGATGGTAAAGGGGAAGGGAAAGGATGTTTTTTGTTTTTTGTTTTTTATATTTTGTTCTTTCGCTAGCTAAGGGAGAGATGGCGGTGGCGGAGGATCATGGCCATGTGTGTGGACCTTTTTGTCAAATTGTGTGGGCCTTATTAATTGATTATTTAGCAACTGTTGCAACGTTGGATTTTGTGTCCCTTCTTAATTTAGCTTGTTAACCCCTTATTATTTTGATGCTCGATCTTTGTCTATTTGTTTCCAGCCATCATCTTATCTTCATTTTCCTGCTAATCTTGGAAGTTATGTTCTTTATTTTTATTTTTTTCTTTTTTGGATCTTTCCTGATTTTTTAATCAGACTTTTTCTAACGTTCATTATTCTCCCTTGATTTTGAATTTTAATCCAACTGATACTGATATTTCTCCCTTTCTAAATTTTAAATTCCAACCATAATATCTATATAATAAAAAACGGTCTCTACTTTTTATTCGACATGCTATAGCAACAGGGTCACCTGTTGCAAGAATAAAAAACAAATCAGCAAAGGGATCATGTAATTGAGTTTGTTAGGTATTTAACAAAAATGGACCCATCATTAATAATAAAGTTTGTCACAAAACCATGATTATGTTACTTATTTACCGGTAATTTTGTACAAGCTGCCCATTTCTTCACACAGCCAACATGTTGATCGTTGCACGAAATAAAGTAATAAACACAGTATCAATTTTCTTTTTATTGTGAATTTATGATGATTTGAATGAACAAATGAGTTTTTTCTGGTCTTTACCGTTTTAAATTTGAATTCAAAATAATGTCACAAAAAAGTAATGTCTTCTAAGTCGCATTGAAGTTAGTGCAAAAACTTATTTGAAATCTAACCGAAAAAAACTTAATCAAACTTCAAAATTAGTTCAAGTTTCACTGATCATCAAAATGAAGTTAAATAATTATTTTGAATAGTGATTAACTAGGACTAATTGTTATAATATGATTGTTTGAAAGCAAATGCAAGCATGGAAAAGGCAGAGAAACGAAGATATTCCGTAATAAGTGGATCCTTTGGGAGAAAAGTAGGGGATGAAAAGGGGAACTGTGAGAGTGAAAGGCAGTGATCGAAAACTGTGAAAGGATTGTGTTTTTTTTTTTTTATATCGAATCAGTTTAACATAAGTTTTTGGTTATTAATTTAGCTAACCATATTGAGTAAATATCATAATTAAACTTTACGTATTCTTTGACCGTTGATGTTGTAAGATTTTTTTCTTTTTATTTTTTATTGCTTAAAAGTATTTATAAAAATGATAAGAAAACCCTAATTTAAAAAAAAAAAAAATTTAAGGAGTTATCTTTATTGTTTTTTTTTCTTTGATTGTTTTTTTTTTTTTTTGCAATATTTATAAATACTTTAAGTGATAAAAAAAGAAAAAAGAAAAAAAACCAATGAGATCGATGGTAAAAAAACACATGTGATTTGATTATGTAACTAATTTAACATTTTGAATCAAATTATTAATAGATAACTTACATAAAACAGAGTGCATAAATTTAACTAACACTTAAATTAATATAAAGATGTGATTAAACAATTACTTACAGTGCACATACTCAACCATTTATTTTTTTATCCCCCACTTCAACTTTCTGTTCTGTGGTCTTATTAGCCTTACTGGACCCAACCATCTTTAGGCCTTCTTTCGTTATTGTTGTGTTTTCGAAGAAAAGTTTTTGCTTTCAAACTTTCAGCCTTGGACCGAATAAATTATAAATTATTCCTTTTAGTTTTATAAAACTAATTACATGGTCTTTTTAATTTTAAAAATTAATTAATTAATTAATTATTCTCATCCATTTCATGTTATTTATTTTATTTTATTTTATTGTTTTAAAAAATATAAAAGGAAAAAAAGTAAATAATATAGAAATATTGATGAGAAAAAAATATTTTTTTAAAAAGTAAAGTAATGTTAAATTAACATGATCAATGCTCATTAAAACTAATTAATTAATTTTTAAATTTATTTAATTTATTTTACACAATTAGATGGACTAATTTATAACTTACTCCCAATTGTACCTCATCTTTATACAGTGTATTGCACTTGCCTAGGGTTGCAGGCACTCCATAGAATAATTAACGGTGCGAAAGGTGCTCTCCTTACAGTTTGCATTTTGGGCCTTTTCCAATCCTTTTCAGACCCCATTCCGTTTAGGTCGTTTTGGTCAGCATCTGATTCTTCATGAGCTTAAATGTTTCTTTCAAGATATTCCTTATCTTTCTTTTGCTTCTCACCAAAGCTTTTTCCACCTTTTTCTTTATTTTTTTTAATCTTTATTGGGGTAGGGTGGTGATAATCAAAAGTTAAGAGTCCAAATTCCTCGAATCCCTTCTTGTCAATCTCACAAATAACTTAAGATTTTCTCACAAATAACTGCAATGATACATGGAAATATAAATATATCACTAATTACAAACTGTGATAAGTACAATTCAATCTCATAAATGAGCGCTTTAATGATAAACTCACTAACCTTTATGGGCTTCTAAATTTGTTATCGAATCCTAATTACCGTATAAGAAATAATATGCCATGGCCGAACTTCCGTATCTGTTGGAAACTTACTCTTTTCTTTGCAATCTGCTTACCACAGAATGGAAGTTCACAAAGCACAAATTACAATGCAGAAGATCAATACTGTTCTTCCCTTGAAAACAATGCCCTGTAGGACGACCAGATTCAAGTACTTTTCTCATTTTTTTTAACGGTGAAAACAGTCCACGGCGCCAATTTTCTGTTTTAAACTGTAAACAGAGAAGCGTAAAAGTAGCAACAAGTGAACAATTTTCCCTGAGTTTAGGTAATTAATAGCAATCCAAGAGGACTAGTAAAAGTCGAAAACAGACAGATTATGGTGTGCAGCAATCCAAAGAAAATGATAGTACTGTTGCTATTCAAAAAGCAAACCAACGTGGACCATTTTTCCAGACCCAACTCAGGAAGGGTATATAGTATTTTTAGTAGGGACCTTTACATCTATCTATACACTAGGTGCCTAGGGCAACCCTTTTTTTTGGCGGGACCCACTAGATTACTTTCTTTCTATGTCCATTTAAATACAAGGACTAGATGTGAAAGAAAAATAAGTAATCACGAAATAGATAGAACTTTAAGATACAAATTTCCCACCTAACTTTTCCCAACCTTGGCGAGACAAGGGAGGTGAGCTTTGACGCGTCTGTAAGTCGGAAGGCAAATCTATATGATAAAGCCTACTTTGCATATTGTCTTTTTTTAATTGATCTTCTTTACCAGTGCCAAGATAAATTGAGTTTGTTCCAAAAACAAAAATAAACAAGAACTAAAAAGCTTAATAGATTTTCTCAAGTTGTTCCCATTGGGTTCAATGGGAGACCGAATAAGTATTGAGTTACAGGTAGCCCTCCCATTTCTAGAAATGTTTTAACCCAAGACCTCCTCATTAAAATCCCAATTTTTAGGATCCCAAGGTTTGGATCATTCATGTTCAATATGATTGGACTGCAATCCATGGTATAAAATTGCCTGTGATATAATATATTGTTGTGTTACCATGTTTGAATTTATCATAAGGGCCTACATCCTCTTGCCCCTAGCAAAAGAAAACTACACCACCAACTCATACACACTGAAATAACCCCAGAACAAGAAGGGATGCAAATTGCCCATAAAGAAACCATAACTTTGACTATTATCTCTTGCCTCAAACCCACTACTCTCCGTGCTTCTCACTCGCAATCTAAAAAATAGGCCATTCTTTTTCTCAAATGATGAGAGACACTAGTATCTTGATTATCCACAAAAGAAACATAAAACACATAAAGGCCAGCAAAAGGATAAGAGAAGGGAAAGGAAAAAGGAAAGTAGAGGAAAAACACATTAAAAAGCAACCAACCATAGGCAATAGGGCATATGTTTTTCCACATGACACAGACCCCACAAGTGAATGGTTTGCAACAATGTGGTGCCGTAAGGTGAGGTCCCACCACAATTTCTTTTGCCAAACAGCTAGCAGAAGGAAAGGATCTGTCTTGCGGAATCGAAACGAACAGTAAGCATAGAAGAGGCATATCCTCAACAAGTCATCAAATACCTTACGAGACTTTTTCGCTAAACACTTAATACTGGCTCGAGAGACCCTTTTTACTTGTTTTTTACCTGAGCAATCCAACATGGTTAATTGGCACGTGCCAGATGCACGTGCTTCCCTGATACAACTTTTTAACCGAAGTTGGCACAACAGCAACGTGACTCGGTGTAGCCTCGTCTGGTCATGCCGATGCTACTGCTGAGGGAGATTTGATCAAGTCTGGCTGGGTCTTAGTAAACCCGAAATTCCCAAGCAACCCCTGCACCATCAAATGTAAGCCATGATGTGAATATCAAGACTTTATGGTTCCAGGGCATCAAATAGTAAAGCATATGCATCCATCAGCAAAAGTAAAGCTAACTTTGATATCCTCATCCAGGCATTTCCGGAAAAAAAAAAACGAGAGATTACTAGATTGGTATGACTATACTTTGCACTTGTAAAAGAACTTCACATGAAAAACAAACATGGTTCAAAATTACATGAGGGGTTTACCAACATCACTCATTTGGAATGCGGAGGAATATTGAATGTATTGTTAACTTTTACTAATAAAATATACTAGCATTTCATGTTAGAGTTTAAAAACATGATGAACGAAATCTAGAGGCATAAGGTAAAATGGCATGGCAAGGGATATGAGAGAAAATGCGGATTGGGACTAGTTTCATGTATGGACATACCATGGCATCATTGATTGCATAAGCCACACAATAGTGTTCCTGAAAAAAAGGAGTTAGGGAGGAAAATTAGGACAGAAAATCAACAATGACAACAGAGAAGTAGCCCAGTATTTATGACCGCCAGAACACAAATCACAGCAACTTCACAGATGCTCTCAAGAATATAAAGCTTAGTTCTAGTTGGTCCAACCCCATGCAATAGAATACCACGTATTGTCATTGATTAAAAATCAGTGGCAGTTCCCACTTTCTTTTCTAACATGAAAGATTTGACTTGCCTGCATCATGTGCCACTCTTCGAACTCATCGAACAATTCCAACCGTTCGATCCTGATCACCAGAAATAGTAGATGAGAAACTTCCCAAGAACACATCAGGGTAAAACAGGCAAAGAAACAAAGGTTGCAAAAGCAAAGCAAATGACAAAACAAATTAGTACCCCAAAAAAAAAAAAAAAAGAGGAAGAAGACTCGAAGGATGAAAAGCCAAAGAGGGAAAGAAATTTCCTTTATATCGTCCTAAAAGCATCATTTACAAGACATTGAAAGAATTAAATCTACTATTTCACAACCATAAGATGTTTTTTACAGCTGCTACCAAAACAAAAGCTTCATAAAAAAGACCAGTATTCATTATTTTGCAAAGGCAAAATCTGAAACACCCACATACAGCCACATACCAATGGTATCTTTCACCACTCCCTCCCAATATATTTTCCTTTCTATGTTTTAATTTTTTTGGTTAATATCTGATCAACAGTTTGGGATTTCTACTTCCAGACATGCCCTCAAACAGCCAGAAAGGCATCTTTTCACCAACACTCAAAATTGAAAACTCCCAAGGAAAGTTACAACAAGACGCAGCCTTGTTCCCATTTCTTAAATTGCAAAAGTAGGCAACTAAACCACAATTAGTTTCACAACCAGCGGGGCTAACCTTCTGCCGACCTACCCCAACATGCCTTTGCAATGTGCCCTCGTGTCCTCCTATGTTTGTGTGTTTTTAATCATGATATTCAGAAGATGACAGGTCCTGTTTCCTAAACCACGAGCAAGAAAAGCATAATTACCACACTAATTTACTACGTCAGCCCGAAGTATGTACCCATATTACACTCAGCCAGAAAATATACACGGGGAGTAGAGCATATCACGTTTACAAAAACCCATTACACCTATATAATTAGGAAAGTTGATTAGAAAGTTCTGATAAACTACAACAAATAATGCCCAGCACCTATCTAGTATTTCATTACTAGGCCACTGGGCACATCAGCAATCTAATAGACAAGATGAAAACAATGAAGTATTTGAGAACTGTCTAAGGATTATAGAACAAATACCTGCGCCTTTCTTTAGCATCGATAAAATCAGTATAAACTCTAAGCATGTCCCAGGCAACAGCTTTCTGATACCTCGCATTGTTTGTAACAAGAAAGTACTTAAAATACGAGAAAAGAAACAATAATCCAAAAACAATAAAAAAAAATGAAGATAAAAAAAGCTTGCCAGACCCATTCTAAACCAACTTCAAGAGAAAACCCCTGAAACAATTGGCTTCGGTACCAATGCCTAAAACTACACAAATTTGAAGTTTTTGGTTCCAGCACTAAATAGAACGACTAATATTTAACCCACCACGTAAGAGGCTCTTCCAGAAAAAACCCATGCACCGAAAGTCAATTAATTGGAAAACCTAATAAAATAATCAGAAATTGTACTGCCTATGCTTCAAAATGTACTATGATTAGAAATCTACGACTAGTTATCAAATTATTCTCACAAGCTGGATCCACTTATCAAGTGACTGGCACATCTAGAAACTTCGATGCCCTCAGTTAACACATTATTGAACAAGATTGATTCAATCGACACTTTCTTTTCTATATTGTTAGAATTTCAAGTTTGATTCTCAAGAGGAACTTATCAGAAGACATACCTGCCACCCTTGATCAAGAAAAAGTTTTTCCTTTGCAAGTAAAGTTGGTGTGTCATAGATACCCAATAGTGCACAACCTCGACTCTGGAGACAAACATAAAAAATAAAGGATAATTTAGTTTAACAAAATACGATAAAATGCGAACATTGAAGTATGGTATTGTTCATTTGCAATCGAGACATTTAAAGAACTGTTCATGTAACAGGAGCCCTATGCACAACCTGATGTAACCAGTGTTAGAAGAATAAATTTTTAGTTGCTTGAGGAAGGGAACAGGAAGTCTGTGGTTCATGTATTTTTCATCCAGCATTAAGAACTCTAAATTGCCTCTAGCCTGGAAAGGAGGATGCATTACCTAGTATATAATCTGAAGTTCTATTGGGAACCGACAAGTTAATTCAGGAATTTTCTACCTTTCCCATGCTCTTAGACTAGGGTTGGCTAATAAAAATCAAAAGATGTGTTATTTCAGTTCGTAGTGATGGAAGTCAATTTCCTGGATTTGAAGGAAATTTTTTTGACTAAAGAGCATTTCACTTTGTTCAATTTCTTTTTGGGTCTATTTGTGCGCTTCAACCATTAAAAGATATCAAGCTAAATTGAATTAGGCTAATTCATCAAAACATGCATTAAAAAGAAAAACTCAACCTCCAAATTTCTGATCATTTGCTGCCCAAAAGCATCATCCGGATGTATCTGTTGAACAATCACCATAAAATGTAAATATAATAAAAACTTGGTAAGTATAAAAATCAGAGAAGCCAGGACATGAATAAGAAGGAAAAAAAAAAAAGTGACTAACATGTAGAAAAACAATTAAGTGATTAGCCTTAAGAAGGTTTAAACCTGCTCATATAAGAAAAATGCTGCCGTTGAAAATGTTTTCGAAGCCCAGACAACTATAGCACGGGTTGATTCTGGATCCAAGTATATTAAAACACATTCTGCAATTATAAATGTTGGCAAGCTGATGCCAGTATCAGAATGAACACAAATAACAAAAATCCATAAGAAAATGACAGGAAAAAAGTTGAATTCGAGGAGAAAAATTTTCTGAAGTAAAAAGCTGTTTGATGAAGTAAAATGGCCAAGGTTCCAGAACATCATGCACAACAATAAACATAATTGGTAAAATCCAAAGCAAAATGCCTTGAGAAAAGTAGAAGGAACCTCAAAAGACACATGCCTACAGATATGAACATAACGCCCTTGACAAGTTCAGATGCATAAAATAGCTAAAACCATCACAGTGACTACTTAACACAATAGGGTTCCAAATAAGCTTAAAAGGAGACAAGAACCGCTTACAAGTACCAAACTAAGAAAATTAATGGAATTTGACTTGGTTTAAGAAAAAGAGGATTGGGACTGCACACATACCTGGGATCCATACCAGCCGATGCTATGACATCATCTAGTTTTTGTATATCACGCAAATCAACTGGGAGCAGCTTGTAATGATCACTGAGCACTTCTCCCTTCTCTGCAAGGTCAATAAACCAAACAGAGCAAATCAGGAAGGTAGTCACGCTTTTGAAATCATGTCACCATTGCAATTCATTTAAACAATAAAAAAGAGATCTGTCAGAAAAGTCAACAGATGCTACCCATTTTTTGTAAGAATACCTAAGGAGTTCATGGCATCGCCAACCAAGATCACTTACCTGGTGAGATTGAGGCTGTAGAACCAAGCTTTTCCCTCAACTGACTGCTGGTTTCAATAATTGCTGCCTTTTTACTAGTTACCTAAAAGTTCACAAACATTAATTTCATCAAAGTTGGAAGCCAATAGTCAATCATTGGTCCTGCAAGCATGTATAGATCAATAATTCACCTAGCTCAGTAAGCTGAAATCTCGTAACACAGAAAATAATCTAGTACATTAGTAACTCTGTCATTATTACTTTTATATCATAAGCGCATTGATAACTAATCTAAACTAAACTCCTAGGATAGAACTCAACATTTCAAACTCTCACCTCCTTAAAATCCAGCTCTACATATAAAAACGGAGTTTTCCCTTCATCCTGCCATAAAAAAACACAAATATCCCAATCAAACCTGTAGGGGTATCAGGTTCTCATTAACACAATTGATGAATAAACTACCACAGCAAAAAGGTTAAAAATTATGGTAATAAAGAAAACACTTGCATCATTTTAAGTATATCTAAAAAAATAGAGAAAAAAGATATGCGTCAAATATCGCAAAAAACATGCCGAAAATTTATCATAGCTCGCAAACAAACTATCCGGCACCTGTAACTGAAAAAACATGGTATCGAATCCCGCTCCGAGTGATAATATCTGCTTTTTTGAATCGGACTTTCCATCGATATTCAATTCACAATCAAGAAACTGAAAGAGAAGCTTCCGAAGAGCAGCCCAACGTGCAAAATAGCCTTAACAGAACAGAAACAAACACTGAAATTAATTAAATATAATCGGTATTGTATAAGGAAAAATAAAAAGATTAAGCAATTACCGCGGTTGATTATTGGAGATCTCCTCACAGGTCTTCTAACAAATAAATGGATATAGTCATCTTTCATGTATCCCTTCTTAACACAAGACCTTTGAAGCAAAAAGTTTTAATAAGTGACATGCATTATTTTCCTTAATTTTCCATTTTCTCGGCAACCAATCAACAAGAAATATATTTAAAATCGAGAAAATTAAAAGAGAAAGGTTGATGCACACAGTTTACTGGCGGAAGCGTCGTCGTTTGTGGCTTGAACTGCTGCTCTATTGCTGTGCGAATCGGCTACCGCCTCTGTTGCCATAGTTGTTCTATGTGAGAGGACTGGGGACTGCGGAAGAGGAGCTCAAAAACGCTGCGTATAATATTATACATAGGAGGAGGAGGCTAAAAGATCCGATATTAGCCGGTTGGAAAATAGACGTCTTTTTCTGTGATTGAGAAGGGATTTGGACAGTGACGCTCCGTCTCTGACGGACCCGTAAAAAGTTGTCACGTAAGCTAGAACTGGGAATCCAACGCGCTCTTGAGTAAATTAAACTTAACCCCCGTGTTATTAGAAAATATTAAATTAATGCCTCGAGTTCAGAAAAGGCCATATATAAATAATTCTTGTATTTTCATGTACGTTTATAACTTCATCCATTGCTAGTTGCGGGTAAAAATGGTAACAGATATTATATAAAATAGTTCTTCGTTTTATTCGATTCAATAAATATTTAATAAATATTAAAATAGATAAAAATAAAAAATATATATTCATTAATATGATTTCAAAATATGGGTATTCATCTTTTGTTTTATTAACATCTACTCATTTATTTTGATTTTTTTAAACATACATAAATATAAATTTTAAAAATTAAGGATCAAAATATTTATAAAAAAAAAACTAAGAATAAAAAAACTTATAAAGAAATGACCGTAAAGTAAAAAAAAAATTAAATTTTAAAGACCAAACAACTTTTCTTGAAAAGTACAAGAACTGAAATGTAACATTTTTATCGAATATTAAATAGGTATAAAATGAACGAGATAAACTAATATAGAGCATGTATGATATGGGTTGGATAAAAATTTATATTATGATTTTTTAATGAATAATGGACAGAACATTCATTTTATGGATAGAGTAAAAAAAATTTAATTAATTGATCGAGTATCATTCATTGTACGGATAAAAAAACTTATAAAAAAATGACGGTAAAGTAAAAAAAAATTAAATTTTAAGGACCAAACAACTTTTCTTGAAAAGTATAGAAACTGAAATGTAATATTTTTAACAAATTATTTTTATCGGGTATTGAATAGTTATTAAATGAACGGAAAAACTAATATAGAGCAAGTATAGATTTAAACATACGAGAGATCTAATTGTATAAATTTAAAAAATTAAGGATCAAAAAAACTTATAAGAAATGACCGTAAAGTAAAAAAATAAATTTCAAAGACCAAACAACTTTTCTTAAAAAGTATAGGAACTGAAATCTAATATTTTTAACAAATTATTTTTATTGGGTATTGAATAGGTACTAAATGAACGAATAAATTAATATATAGCAGGTATGGGTTGAATAAAAATTTATATGATGATTTTTTAATAGATAATAAACAGAATATTCATTTTATGGATAAGAATAAAAAAATTAAATTGATTGATCGAGTATCAATTCATTGTAAGAATCAAAAAACTTATAAAGAAATGACCATAAAGTAGAAAAAAATAAACTTTAAGGACCAAACAACTTTTCTTGAAAAATACAAGAACTAAAATATAATATTTTTAACAAATTATTTTTATCGGGTATTGAATAAGTATTAAATGAACGGATAACTACTATAGAGCATGTATGAATTAGATAAAAATTTATATCATAATTTTTTAATAGATAATAAATAAAATATTCATTTTATGGATAGAGTAAGAAAATTAAATTAATTGATCGAGTATTCATTCATCGTCATCCCTGGCAATGGCTGAAGTATCGATTCATTGATCTAGGTATTGATTGAAAAAGCAACACGTCAAAGGGACTTGCTGGTTAGTGTTTTAGAATATGGATACTAAATTATAATTTATTCAAAGTTTTTTTATTTGATATATAATTAGAACACTAATAATATGAACCACCAGAAAATTTAAACTTCCATGCGTTTGGTAAAAAAATCACAGTGAAAACTTTTGGGCTTTTCTATAACAGAAAAGGTATTTAGTAAAATTCTCAAAAAGATTTTTGAAAAAGTTTTTTAGAAATCAAAACTTGAAGCTATGTAATGAAATTTATTCTGTAAAATATTAAAGATTTAACTTAACACAGAATTCAAATAACATGTATTACTATATGCTTTTATCATCATTACCATAACTACATCAATTTATCATACCAAAATTTACATCAACATAAAGCATACTTTTACTAGACTGATAGAATGAGAATTTATAAAACGAGATTAAATGCATTACATGCGAGGAAAAAAATGTAATGAATTATGCAACTTGCAACGATAGGTCATATTTAATGTGATTTTAACAGTTAGTGCTTTATCATATCCTTCTCACACACACGTATATAACAAAAATCCTGAATATTAAAGCATTTGATGTGATTAGCATCAGTAGTTGATTATATATCACAAGGGTGACTTGAATAGAAAAATGTATTTACACGTCTCGAATTTCTCATCTCTTTTCACGAAATAACTTTTAGTCTCCTTATGTCTTCCACTGTTATTTTATTATTTTAGATCCTTCGGTGCTTGTTAAGTAAAATATAACTGAGAGATGACCGTCCATGATTGATTATTTGTTGATTTTATTGATGCAAAATTAATTGCGAATGACTAGTAAAATTGATTTACATGCTCCGTGTTATATAGCCGTTTGTGAAGTCTTAAAAAGTTCGAGGATTAAAGTCTAGTTTCACTGGAATTGGAGACAAAACAAATAGGGGTCCAGGTCTATTGAAAAAATTTCCTAGTCCCTTCTGTTAACTTTCAAGTCTCAACGCCGAAAAAGCCAGAATGACTGTACGGTGAGGGGTGTAGTTATCTTTAATTCTCAGGGTATTTGCTTCTTTGTGTCTATTCGTGTTGTCACGACATTAATCTTTCCCTTCTCAATCACGGGTTTAACCATCCACCGTATGGTCTGTGTTGATGGTATATCTCTACTAATTTTCTCATTAATTCCATGCTTTTATTTTTATTTACATTTTAATTCCGTCTTTTTGTCTAAATTTTCAAGTGACGGCGTTAATTTTCAACGACAGATGCATTTGATATTAACACGTGATAATTTTTTTATTTTTTTAAATAATTAAAAAAATATAAAATATAAAATGTCATTCTTTTTTCTGTCTTTATGTATAGAAGAAATAAATAATTAATTTCATCTTTTTTTTCTTTCTCTCAAATCCAAACCAAAAAATAAATTTTTTATGTATAGGAAGGAACATTTTTTTTTTTCAGAAATTTATTATGAGAGTTTATTTCAAATCTACACCCAAAGAAACTTTTTTATGAAATTTTTTCATAACATAGTAAAATAAGCAAAAGCAGAGAGAAAAGAGGAACACTTTGGGATTTTTTTATTTTTTTCATAAATTTAATTTTTTTAAAAAAATAATTATGTGTTAACATCGTATGCATTTGTCGTTGAAAATTGACGTCGTTATCTAAAAGCTTTTATAAAATTAAGACTCCAATTAAAATAATAGAATGTAATTAATGAAAAAATTAATAAAGAAACATGATTAAGATAAACCTAGTAAAAAAACATTCTGGATTATTAACCCCTCAATCATATGGTATGTATTCGGTTCTTATTCTCTTAGATCATTCCCTGAAAAGTTTAAAACATTTATGCCCATTTCTCCTTAAAAAGACATTTTCTTAATTCGTTCAATCCTTCAAGAATAAATAGTTTCCTCCCTTCCCTTTATAATGATAATGCATTAAGCCTCGTTTCTTCGAAAACAAATTTAGTTTAATTCTTCTTTTCATCTGAAGCAAATATTTCTCATGGAAAGTTTCAATATAGCCCATGGTATATTACTCTATTATTAATTAAGTACTACAACTTTTGATTTTATAAATTTTTTTCCCATTGTAATTGATGTTAGACAATATCACCTTTTTATCCATCTATTATTGATGATGGTTATAAGATTCCGTCCAATTCACTCCTGTTTGTATCTCAAAATAAGCTATAATCTTAGCCAAAAGATAATTTTAGCTTCAAATAGTATCAAATTTCACTCTACTCCACTAGATTGTAAAAAAAAAATGGAGGGAAATTTATAATGATTTTGTGCTAAAATTGTCATTCAGAGCCGAGGCTTATTTTTGCTTCTTGAATGGAAGTATTTAACAATCATGTGTAGATTGGACCAAATCATTAATCGCAATTATCAGTGGATGGTTGGAGGATTCACGTTTGTTTAACATCAATTATGTTTGCAGTAAAGTTGACGTAACCAAAAGATTTGAGATTCAATAGATACTGTTATAATATGCTACTTATTGAATTGAGATTTCTCCTAGTTCCCGACATGTTTAAATATTTATCTTCGTTGTCCTTCCAGGAAAAAAAAAGGCTGTTACCTTCCAAGCTCTTCAGGGGAACCTCAACATAAATTGTCCATGATTTTATAGCAGCGACAACAACTAGTTTTTCCTTTAAAAAAAAAAAAAAAACATTGCCTTATGTTCCAACGTCCCTTTGTTTTTTTGTATTTGTGGTTAATTTTACAGCAGCGACAACAACTAGTTTTTCTGGAAAAAAAAAAAAAAACATGAACCATAAGTTGTTACATATTGGTTTGTTAGGTATCAGGCTACATAACCTAAGTTTTTTTTTCATTATATAATAATTAAATAAACTGAAATTATTGAAACTCCAACCTATTTTACTCAAAAAAATCTATCAAATACACAATTACTAGCCTAATGTTTTATTTACTGGAAAAAATAAATAAAATCTCCTAAAACCACCTTCAGCTCGTCATTACTAAAAAACTAAAATAAATCATGATTTTATTATTTATTTTTATTATTTAAAATAATGTTCACACACTTACAATCACAGATCACTATTCTTTTTACTATTATATCATTTTTTAGCACTTTGGTCCTCAATTTTTCTATCTTTTTTTTTTTTTAATTTCAAACTTTAATTTTATCGTGATTTCATCCCATTTTGTTTTGGTATTTTCTTTTAATTATTTTTATTATTTAAAATTTACTACTTTAATTTGTCATTTTTTTTCAATTTCAAACTTTAATTTGTTAATTATTTTTATTATTTAAAATTTACTACTTTAATTTGTCAATTTTTTAAATTCTCTTTTTTTTTTCAATTTCAAACTTTAATTTGTTAATTATTTTTATTATTTAAAATTTACTACTTTAATTTATCAATTTTTTTTTAAAATTATCTCTTCTTCTTTTTTTTTTTCAAACTTTAATTATATTGTGATTTGATCCCATTTTGTTTTAGTGTTTTTTATTAGTTATTTTTATTATTTAAAATTTACTACTTTAATTTGTCATTTTTTTTTAAATTCTCATCCAATTAATTTAAAATTACATTTACTGACAATTTTGATTTATTTCTCTATATATATGGATTTTGGAATAAATTTTTAAAACATGATGATTTTTTCTTTTGAAAAATAGATTTAGATAATTTTTAAATTATAGTGCCATGATTAATATATATAATTTTCATGAAATACATTTTTAAATTAAAAGTGTATTTCAATTTTTTTTTTTTGATTTTTTATATTATTTAAAATTTACTAGATTAATTTTTTATTTTTTTAAATCCTCTTTTTTTTTCTTCAATTTCAAACTTTGATTGTATCATGATTTGGCCCCATTTGTTTTAGTTTTTTTTATTAATTATTTTTATTATTTAAAATTTTCTACTTTAACTTGTCATTTTTTAAATTATCATCCAATTAATTTAAAATTATATTTACTGATAGTTTTGATTTATTTTTTTATATGTATGAATTTTTGAATAAATTTTTAGAATATGATTTTTTTTTTTGAAAAATAGATCTAGATAACTTTTAAATTATAGTGCCTTGATTAATATATATATAATTTATCTAAAATATATTTTTAGATTAAAAGTGTATTTTAAATATTTTTTCTCGGTTTTTTTAGAAAAAAACTCAAATTAATTAAAAGTTGAAAGTCAAATGTGAAAAATAAAAAGAAGATGGTTGCTTTGCACGTGAGGCTCGTATTCAAGAACTAACCATGCATGGCATAGAAAAAAAAACATTTAATAAGGAGGAAAAAAATAAAAAGAATTCACATGTTTTATTAATTTGTTTCTTCTCTACATAATCAAAATTAATTGAAATCAAATTTGTAATAATTTTTATTTTAGTCTATTAACTTCAAATTTAGTCAATAGATTCCTTGTAAGTTAACTTTTTTTTTAATAATATTTTTTATTTTAGATTGAAAACTCGAACTCACTTAGTGTAATTATGATGTATAAAAAAATATTGAATCGTTGTTTTTTAGGAATTAGCTATGCAACTACCATTGCACTAAACATTTACTATTTATTTGTTTGTTTTTTAATATTTTAGAATTAAATTATTTTAAATTAAATAATTAAAATTATATTTTGGTTTAACCACTCAATGATTCAAATCAATATAGTTTTTTTTATTTTAATATTATTTATTCTTTTGTAAATAAATATATAAAAATTAAATTCATATTTTTTCAAAGACCGATATTCTCATCAACATTAAATAAAAAAAATTTGTTTTAATTTATGTAAGCTTTTAATAATTGTTATTTATGTTTTCCGACATAATCTTATGAAATACTAAAGCTTTTTTTAAAAAAATTTATTTAATTTTGTTTTTAGTTAATAATCCATGGATCAACAAGGATAAATCTTTTTCTAAAGGAAACATTATGAAAAACACAAATAAGAAATAGTTAAATACAAAATTTTTTATTAAAAAATTATAAATAATTTTTTTCACCTTTGATTTCACATAGTTTTGTAGATTCACATCATAAAATAGACTATCAAACTGAAATGATTTTTAAAATTTTTTTTATATATTTTATCCAACCAAACAACGTAGTGCGGGCAAAAAAACTAATTCATTACTATATATAAAAAAATTAATTTTTTAAAGAACTTTTAATTGATTATTATACTTTTGATATGTACTAACATTATAATATTAATATTAATACACTACTAAAACTAATGCGTAAATTCAACTCCATCTCTAATTAAGAAAAAACATGCTAAGGTTCTTTAAAAAAAATATTAATTTAAAAAATAGGCTTTTTTTTTAGAATGGATCCTAAAATACAAGCTAATCTCCTTATTAATATTCTTTATTTATACACTACGTAAAACAGTAAACAACATAAAATAAGTTCTCAAATCACTTACAAACTAAATAGTAGTATACCAATATTTTATGGAATTATCAAAACTCTAAAAAGGCTTAAAAACAAGCAAAAGAAGAAAAACATAAAGTATTAAAAAAATGAAAAACAATCAAAACATCAAAATTCATCAAATGATTAAATTGAATCCTTATTCATGTTTGATAGGTTGTTATTATTATTTGTTGCTATTATCTCACATTACTTATTAATTTTCTGAACAGTTATTATTAAAAACGAAACATTTATTAAAAAATATTTTTTATTTTTAATTCATGCATGCATTATTAATTTAAATTCATGAATATAATTAAAAAATTACTTAAAATAAAAAAAGGTTCATAACAATATAATATTAAGTTATTTTTTAATAATTATTATTTTTAGAGTTATGTACATTTAAATTTGAAAGATCATTCAATGCAATACTCTAATAGTTCTCTAAATCTAGTTAACAATTATTTTATATGGTTTGAAACTTAAAAGAATTTATTTATTTATTATTATCTAAATTTGTATAAAATTATTTAAACATCAAATTTATTCATTTGTAACTAAATCTAAATAATCCATCCAAATATTAAAAAATATATATTATAAATTTATTAAAGAATGCAGGTGCGAAGCTAAGAAACTACTAAGTGGCAAAAAAAAAAAAAAAAAAAAACCACTTTTCTCCTAACATCTCACAAATCAGGACTACCAAATTCCCACTCTTCTTCTTCTCCTTTTTTTTTTTTTCCTCCTTTTTCACAAGCCCTAACCATCTCAATCCCCCAACCATACCAATAACCTTCTCACCCTCTTCCTCAATGTCCTGATTCCCATCGACCTTCGCTAACTCGGTAATTCATTTTATTAGGGCTTGTGAAGGCTAGTCGTTCATCCTTTATTTTTAAATTATGGACATCGAACAAAAACAAGCAGAGCTCATCGATCACTTCGTAAATCAAGCATCCACTTTAAAAGGCTCTGCTCTTTGGCCTCTTATTATCGAAGCCACTTCTCATCCTTCTCTCTTCGCCTTCTCCGAGATTCTCTCTGTCCCCACCGTCTCCGAGGTACTTTCTTTTACCCATTTTTCCTACTTTTTTTCCTGCTAATTTCATGTCTATGTTATTGGAGGGTATTTTAGGTATCTTAATTTGGTTTGAAATCTATTGACAGCTTGAAGGAACTGAGAATTCTTTGTACCTCGATGTTCTTCGGTTGTTTGCCCATGGAACCTGGAGTGATTACAAAAGTACGCATTCAGACTGGTTTTTTCTCCTCCTTTTCCATCTATTTCTTACCGATTTTGGTTTTATTTTTTTTCTTAAAAAGAAAAATCACGTATGTGAATTCATATTGGGTTTTCAATTACAGCAGAAAATGATTTTGGTATTTTTTTTTTAAAATATCTGCTCTTGATAATTGGATATAGGGAGCTTGAATTAAGAAGTTTTGTTGAGCTGTTAAGTTGCGTAAGAATTCGAGAATTATTGCATGGAAAAGTGTTTTGAGTGATTTTAGCTACTCAATTTTTCTTAAGTATTATTGATATTCGAGCCAATGGGCTTTACTGGTAGATGGATTTTGAATTTTGTTGATTCGGACGCATCCAATAGCTTGGATGAACCAAAAGCAAGTTGACATTCCTGTAGTTTTGTTTCCAGTCATGGACTCGAGGGTGACAACTGAATGATAGGTTTTTTTTTTTTTTTTAAATTATATATATTTAGAAGCTTTTTAATCTAGTGGAATTAGCTTGAAACTGGCTATACTAATGACGAATAGGTATTTAATGTCTTACATAGAGCAACTGGAAATCAAATATTTTATATTTATCTAACTTGTTTTTGCCTTGCATTTGCTGAATTAATGTTTTACTCAAATATTTTTATTTATTCTCTCTCTTCATTTTTTTACTAGTTCTTGCATTTGGTCTACCTCGTGATAAGCATTTCCATGGACATTTACTTTGAAAGCCTAATTCTTAACTCTAATTAGTAGCTTGGAATGAGATTCTCGAAGAACCCTGATCTCACTCAGCTGTCGTTTGAGTTTATCTAATAGAGTGAATGAGTTGAATTATAAATTTTGTGTTGTCATTACTACTATATGCGATGATGTAGTTAATGACTGTATTTTTCTTGTATTCTGGTTGTATTGCTTTAATAACATGTTCCTTGCCCTTGATTTTACCTTTTCTCCCTTTTGAGACCATGATGAAATGGAAAACTTGCTTATTTACAGTTAATGCTGTTCGTCTTCCACAATTGGTTCCTGATCAAGTCCTCAAGCTAAAGCAACTTACTGTACTTACGCTGGCTGAAGTGAACAAGGTATCTTTCCTTGTTTATGAACCCTTTCTACAGAAATGAATTTTACATATTTGAGTAGCTAATTCACCTTCCTGATTGGCTCATCAATTCTCTGCAATATTTTGATGATCAAGAATCGTGCAGTTAATTTCTCCTAATTCAGAGTAGTTACTCATTGTAGTTGGAGCTAAAATCTAGTATCGGTTTTGATGATCTTGTTTAGTTACTGTAATTTTGTATGAAGTAAAATTGAATTGTTTTTTTAGCTTGGAATGTGAGCAAGTGTTTGAAAGTTCAAACCTTAGACTATGTTAGTGTTTCATATAAATATATTGTATAAGTAGATTTCATATGTTGAAAATTACTGTTATTTTTAATTATCACGCACCTATGCTGTACCACTAGTTTAAAAGTTGAATATTGTACATTTGATCTGTTTTCTTCAACACTTTTGATGCAAAATATTTTTTTGCTGATCTCTTGATCCTCACCATTTAGCTTGTTCTGATGTTTGTCCTTTTCTAGGTACTACCTTATGATCAGCTAATGCAGGAGCTAGATGTTACAAATGTTCGCGAACTTGAAGATTTTCTTATCAATGAGGGCATGTATGCGGTAGGTTTTCTGCCAGCTGCATTCCATTCCATCAACCACCATGATTGGATTTTTTTTCCCTACTGTAGGAAAGTGAAGTTGATTGGGCAAACAAAATGTATAAAAAATTTGAAGCTGTTGTAGTTCTTTCCCTGCCTCTTTTCTTTCCAGACAATTGTATGTGCTAATCATTCTTTGCATTTTCTTTTCTTTTCTCTTTTCTTCTTAACTCTGAGGTTCTTTCAGGGAATAGTACGAGGAAAGCTAGATCAGTTGCGAAGGTGCTTTGAGGTCTGTGAGTGAATGTGTCATGAGCTTGCGTTAAGATGTATTCTATGATATCCTTTTACCCTCTCCAAACATTTAAAGCTTATATGGTGTCTTCTTTTTTAATTGATGTATAGGTCCAATTTGCTGCTGGGAGGGATCTGAGGCCTGGACAGCTTGGGAATATGTTACAAACACTATCAAACTGGTATCGTCTCTAGTTGGCTAGCATCTCCATATCCTCTTTGACGATGCTGTTGTATACCTGAGTGCAAAAATGCCTGAACCCATATGAAATTGGGAGTTGCTGCTCTATTTAATTTGTAAAGCACAATAATCTGCTTAAAAATCAATTTGCTTATCAGATCTGAATATGTGAACATGTCAGAGGATTCCATAGTTGCATGCTAAGTAAGTTATTTGATTTTTCATGTCCCCTGGGTAATGATGTTTTAGATGTTTCTCCGGCAATTTATCAGTTTATTTTGTTGAGTTTGTCAAGCTGAAGTTATTGGTTTTCATGTGTGATCTTGTACATTCTGGTGTTATACCATAGATCTTTATACCAGCCTTTGAATAATAATGGAAGTTCCTTTCTAATCTATGAGATGGTTTGTTATTCTTGCCCATCATGTATATCTGAATATGGTGTTCATTCTTTGTGTTTAATCTGTCAGGTGTCAGCTCTATATCTAACTTTATACCTGTGGATGTCTATTCTGGTGTTATACCATAGATCTTTATACTAGCCTTTAAATAATAATGAAAGTTCCTTTCTAATCTATGAGATGGTTTGTTTTTCTTGCCCATCATGTATATCTGAATATGGTGTTCATTCTTTGTGTCTAATCTGTTAGGTGTCGGCTCTATATCTAACTTTATACCTATGGATGTCTAGGTTGGCTACATCAGATAATTTACTTGTCTCGATTCAGGAGAAGATAAAATGGGCCGACTCTATGAGTGAATTGGATAAGAAGCATCGAAAGGATGTAGAAGATAGGGTGGAAGAAGTAAAGAAGTCACTCTCCCTCAAGGTCAGTTGAATCTAGTTTTATATCCAAGCATGATTCATGAAGCATGATATAATTCGAAATTCTATTTGAAAATAAAAAATCTGAAACAAATAATTATACATCCTTGCATATGAAGTAGTGTCAAGAAGCATCATAGAAGCTGAAAGAAATAACTGGATATTCCACGCAAGTAATATGTAGCTGGGAAGTGCATCATCTTTTAATTTATGTAGGCTGTAGCTATTATTTATTAGCTTCACATGATTTGCTTATCTTTGCTAAGCAATGCTGCAGCTAGATAAATGCAAAAATTCTCTGTTTAGCTTGGATATGAGGAAGGTTATCTTGATTTTGCTAAATTGGAATCTTGTGATAGTAAATTCATTTAGTACATGATTCAAGAGTCTTTATTCAGTTACTGGGATATGTTTGTCGATGTGTCTTACTTACGTTGTGGCAGAAGTTACACACTGTAAGCAGGCAGACATTGACTACCGAGGGCACGAGGAGACCTACTCTGAATCTGGTGGAGTGATGGACTATGAGGAAGACCGAAGCCGACCCAAGAGGTATTTTGATTTGGCTTCCATTCTTGTGATTCTACATCCATGCATGCACTGTTATCTTGTTGGTATCACTTAACGGCCCGGGGGATGCAAATTATCACATTAGTCAGGGAATACAGAATTCTCTTTGTTGTTTTTTATGTCCAACTGGACTGGCTTTGTTCTAGTGTTTTTACTGGTGGTTTGTAAATTGCAGGAGACGACATCCAATATCATGAAGATATAGATAGATCATGAAACCCATTGGATAGGTGTTCCCCATGATTTGCCTGATTTTTGTTCATGGCATACCGACAACAATTGATTGCAGCTTTTGCAGATAGTGATATTCCCGGACAGTGAATTTGTTATTGCCACATTAGACTGATATTTGAAGATGGTACCTCGTTTTGAACCTATTATCATTCTTATTGAGTTATGAAGAACAAGACCAGATTTGTTGGTGCGGCTAAAAACGTTGTGAAGTCAGGTTGTTATTCTGATCTTTCACCTTTTGATGTCATCCTTCAATTTGTGATAAAATATTTGCTTATATATTTTAGCTGCTTCATGCATGAAAGCGCAGGAGTTCTTTTGTCCTAAAAAAATTCATTGTTCCGCTCCTTTTTTCATTTCCTTTTGAGAGTTTCTTCATTGGTTGTTCATGGATCAAGAATTATGCCACCAATCATTTACTAGTCAGCAATAGATACACCCTTGAGCTGTTGATTAGCTGATAGAACCTTCTATGCGAAAGGGACACTGGGAGGGTTAACACACGTCTGATTTTTCGAAGTTAAGATATTGACTTGGATGCCATTGTTTGGACGACATCTCTTCTCGGAGGCCATAATCAATTGGAGAAAAATGTGCATAAACTTTGGGTTAATGGTCTATACATTGAGTTGAGTTTTCAATCTGTTTTTATATTATAAAATAACCCAATTATATTTATGTTATTTAAACAAGTTTTTAAGTTTTTTTTGGAGTCAATTTTTTTGGCCAAACCAAATGTCATAAGATTTGCATATGATCAAATACTTTTCTTATCTTAACATGTTAAGTTTTTAGTGTCTTTATTTCGGGTTGAGTTTCTAACTTGTCCTTAATGCAAAAGAATTTATTATATTATTGTTAATAATTTTTTTAACAATGTATTGCATCATGATGAATGTTTTTTTTTTAATTAAAAATATATATAAATAATTAGTACATAGTATGTAAGTGTTTAAGAGATTGTTATTTAACACATTTTTAATGCTAAAGAGTATATTATATTCTTGTCATTATAATAGTTCATTTACGTATAATATTGAGCATTGATATAAAATTTATTAATATATTAAATCATCTCTTTAAAAAAAACATGTGAATCTCTTATGAAAAATGAAAAAATAGTACAAATATAATTGATTGGATTAAAAAATTGCATAATTATAATTTAAATGATTGTTTATTAGTCTCTTAAGTATGAATAAAAAAAATAATTTTTTTGATTTTAATTATTTTTTTACATAATTATTTGTTTTTCAATTACATGATTAAGAGACTAATTAACAATCATTTAAATTATCATTATGTAGTTTTTTAATCCAATCAATGATATTTATATCATTTAGTCATTTTCGTATTCGATTCACATGTTTCTTTTTATAGAGGATTTAATATATTAGTAAATATTATATCAATTTTTTTCAATATTTTACATAAATAACTGTTATGTAATGATAATAATAAAATTTTTAACATTAAAGAAAAATTGAAAACTCAATTCATTATAAAAAAAACTTAACATGTTCAGAAGAGAAAAACATTTTTATCAAAAAAGTCATGTGTAGGTCATGGAATATTTTCAAGTAGTTTGATTAAAAAAATTAGTCAGAAAAGTAGATTGAAAATTTGCTTAAATAAAAATATAATTACTTTATTTTAGGATATAAAGACTGATTGAAAATTCAGCCCGTTAAATAAGGATAATTCAAGCCATTAACCCTAGTTCTCCAAGTTCTCTCTCTACACTCCAATTCTGCTCCTTGCTTCAAACTCAGTCCTCTCAATGAGTCAAAACTAATTTGTTCGACTTCTCTGAGATTGATCAAATAAACCTAATAGCCAGCAACAATGGCTGTATTGTCTACCAAGTAAGGTAACCTTCCACTGCCTGCTTCTACACTCTCAAGGTGATCACCATTGACCCTGAAGAGGAATTTGCCAACCATGAGATCCTCTACGAGATGGAGTTACTTCGAGACCTCTACCACCCCAACATTGTCAAATGTCACAACATATTGGATCGTAATGGTGAAGATATTCAGGTCCTTCTTGAGTTGATGGATGGAGAATCTCTTGCTGAGACGCACATAGCTAGTTAAGGCCATTTATTGAACATTGCTCGCCAAATCCTCTCCGGCATTGCTTACAAATGGTCGAAAGGTAGTCCATCCCAACATCAAACCATCCAATCTTTTGACTGATAATCCACAAAATAACGTCAAGATTGCAGACTTTGGTGTGAGCAAAATTCTTTCACAAACTCTGAACCCGAAAGATTTTGTTGGAACCATCAGGTACAAGAATCCTGCAAGGATAGATTAAGGATTGTATGATGGGTATGCAGGGGACATCTGGAGTTTTGGATGAAGTATCTTGGAGATTTACCTTGGGAGGTTTCCAATTGAAATTAATTTCAGCTTCCAAAAATGTTCTGATCTTTTTCCATTTTCTCATTTCCATTGAAATTAATTTCTTCCATCAAATACTGGCAGCGATTTCTTAGCGTTCCTGTTTGTATTAGTGTACAATAATGTCAACATACCAAATTGATTGCCTTTTTCTTTCTCCCTTCTATCCAATTGTATTTATATTCAGCTTATGACTTGCAGTATTGAATTTTGCAACCATCATATATTTTCCACAAAGAAAACCTCTATCGATTTGTTTATTGTAAATACTTGGGACTTTTAGTAGTAGCCGACTAGTTTAATTTGTACTTCATACCTATCATCTTGGACTTAAACCAATGACGAATGAATCAATCTGGACGTGGATGATCTAACTAAAACCTGAACGAGGAGTTTAATCTCAATAAGCTGATTTTAAAATACACGAGGATTTAAAAAATTGTACTCCATGACATCAAAATAACACGGTTTGAGCTAATTTTCCCCGCCAAAGCCCATCAACAATTTCCTCATTCTGACACCATCTTGCTTCTTCGAGGCTACAACCATCTATTCATATCTGCTTCAGTTTTCAGCATAGCCTTCTCAGTGACTCAAACTAACCAGTTTAACTTCTCTGAACTTGATAGAATCAGTCTAATAGACAGCCACAGTACAAAGTTAGCCACCGGCCAACTGGCCAATTCTATACTCGCAGGGTGATCACCAATCACCATCAACCATGATGACAACATTACCTGCCGCGAGCTGAATCTGCTTCGAAGATTCGATCACCCCAATATAGTCAACTGCCATGGTATATCTGAAAACAAAGACGAATGCTAGGTCCTCCTTGATTTCATGGATGGAGGATCCCTTGCTGGAAACCACATAACTAATGAGTCCCATCTATCAAACATCGCCTGACAAATCCTCCTAGCCCTCGTTTATGTCCACGGTCAAAGGATAGTCCACCATAACTCCAGCCATCCAATATTTGGGTTCACTATCAGCAGAATAATGCGAAGATTGCAGATTTCGGTATGATCAACTATTCAACTGCGTTTCACAAAGTCTTGTGGAGACCCTCGGGCATGTGAGTCCTGAACGGATGAGTACTGGATGGCCTTTTGAAATAATTGATTCGGTTCTAGCGGATGTATGGAGTATTGGGTTAAAGTATTTTGGAGGTTTATTGGACAGGTATCCGATAGTAGAGGCAGGGGAATTGGGAAGTTTTAATAAATGCAATATGTTATTCGCCCCTTCCGCAAGCACCATCGACTGCATCAAGGGAGTTTCAGGATATTATTTCGTGTTGTCTGCCGAGAAGCTCAGAGAGGCGGTGGACAGCTGCAGAGTTGTTGCAGCGCCCGTTTATAATGCAGAGGCAGGAAAATCAGTAGTGCACTACTTTGTTGAAGAAAGGAAGTGAAATCATTATATGATCATTTTCTATGGCAAACTTGATCATAAATGCTTCATGCTTGTAATCTATCTATCCTTCTGCATCATACTATCTTTGAAAAAACTCTTCGTCAAAATAGGCATAGAAATTGCCTGTGGCATCATCATTCTTTTATTTGCATTTATATCCATAAATTTGTTGGATACAAGAAAGTTATTAGTTGCTGATTATGACACCCGATATTCGCGAGTCATTATAATAAATTCGGATATGATATAAAGAATAGTTTACGAACTTATGAACAATAAAGAAATAATTTTGAATAGCTATTACAATAAATCCAACTTCTTGTAGTATCTCCAGACTTGAAAAGGCTATTTAAGTTGCGGAACTTACCCTTAGGTGTACGATCAACTTAAGTAATAATGCAGCTTCTCCTGTAGCTGTGGCTCTGCGAGCAAGTAGCCAAATCAACAAGCACAACTCCAAATGGAAGTCTACAATGATCCCAAAGAAACAAGCCAACATCACCGACATGGTCACAGCTACCATACACCCACCAGAGATCAGCCATACCAGCAGAATCTCACTAATCCCACTAGTAATTATTGGACTTCTCTGGCAGATTAGCGTTTACCTGTTGATTTTCAATTGGTTCTGGACCAAACTTGGCACCCCAAGGTTAGGCTGGGTTGCGAACGTTCTGTTTGCAAATTATTTTTGGGTATGATTTATATTTTCAATTTAACTATGGGTTCAAATGTAGCCCAAAGTTTTTTAAGCGAAGCCCAAAACTTTTAACTAAACCAGAGAGTAATCAGACTTAAATTTAGACACTGTCTCACTCCCATCAGCCCAAGTGACCTGTTCGCTAAAAGAACAAAAATTTCGCCAATGGGCCACAGACATTTCCTGCCGTTAGGTATCAATAGCTGCTTAAAACTACAATAATAGTGACAGACTGAAAGCGAATAAATAGCCAGCAGTCCAATGAGGCTGGAGTCTTAAGTTTTCTTGGTTTTGGGCTTGCAAATTAGAAGCAAAGACAAAAAGATTATCTTCGCATGAAACGTTGTCGCATTGGGCTTTTCTTTCATTCTAGGATGGTGGCAAACATGATACAAGGATAAGAGACGAGAGATTCTTACACATTTGTTGGAATTTGAAATTAGAAGCGTCTCATAAGTTTTTTTTTTTTTTCCCCAATGAACCACTCTTGCGGGTTTATTATTAATTTGTTATTATTATGATTAAACATTTGAAATCTCATGACTTATATATTAAAATTTAAATTTCGCTTCTTTTACTTGTTTTTTCCTTGAATTGTTTCGTTTAATCACTAACACAATCAATTATAGAAAATTTATTTTAGAAGTATATAGGTAGATGAATTTACGAAAAAGTTCGTATAAATAAATTACTACAGCAGTATAAAATCTTTTGACATTAACAATACTACCCATTACATAACAACAACTTGTGCGAAGCTTAATTATGAGATATATATGACATTACCTTATTTTATCATTTCTGAGGGAAAAAAAAAAAAACAAAACTTGTTTCGAAGAAAACTAGGAACGAAAAACAGAACTATTGAATAATTTTTTAATGATATGCCATCCCACAAAAAAGTTAATACAACCTAGGATCTCAATAATCTAAACAAGTCTTCTCCTTATACGTACCAACTTAACCAACCCCTTTGAAAGGGACCGGGTTTTTCATTTTTTTTTTATATATATTTTTTAATCATGAATCACACAAATTTACAGAATGGGAATCATGGCATATTACTCATTAATTTTCATTTTCTCCTCTTGGGCGAGCCATCTTCCATCAATGCAGGCTCAGGAGATCGTCTCTTGGGTGTCACTCTAACAGGTTCGTATTCATTGGAACCAATCAGATGAGGAAAATTGAGCTTTGCTTTGCTTCCACGAATCTTGAAAGCAGCTTGATCATAAGCAAGAGCTGCATCCTCAGGTGTCTCATAAGTCCCGAGCCACATCCTTGCTCCATTCTTCTTCGGGTCCCTAATCTCCGCCGCGTACTTCCCCCAAGGCCTCCTCCTCACTCCCCTATAGTGACACCCTTTCGGCAGCGCGTCCCTCTTACGCGCCACTTCTGCTTCAGGAGTGACCGGTCCTTCAGGCTCTGGTTCACCGACCGCAGACGTTGTTGTTGACGACATTGTGTCATTAAAGAGGAGATGGTCATGATTACAGGTACCGAAGCTTGAAGCACTACTTTCGCTAGTATTCTTTGCCGGGTAAGTACTCATTAGAGTTTCAAAATCATCACCAGTACTAGTGCTAACTAGATATTGTTGAATGGATTCCAAGAAAGCTAAATTTTCAGGCTCTAAGTTGTTGTTCTCTCCGGACCACATTTTCTTAACAAATCTCGGTGTTTGTTTCTACTAATTAGGGTTTTGGCGTTTGTGTGGATTATTGATTCTTTTGGTTTTGATCGTCCCTGTGTATTATATATAAGTTTAGAGATGCAGTGTGGTGATATTTTTTTCACCTAATCTTGTTCTTCTAAGAAGTTTCGGCATTATTGAGTATTCTTTCACGTGCTGTAATTAATTTTTATTCGTGCTTCTTTATTTTGAAATGTCAGAGATGCGGTTGTTGGATGGAGGTGCTGTGGCCTGTGGGCTATGTGTCAAGTTTAGTATTATTATTACTATTTTATCATGTCAATTAATAAACAATGTGACAACTATCATGTAATGGAAAAACTATTAATACATAATTTTAGATAGAACCGTACTTTTCTTTTGGGGGAGAATGGGAGAGGAGGGTTAATATACTATTATCTTTGTAATTTCATGATGAAATAATTGCATCCTAGAACATGGGGACAATTTAATTAGAAAAAGAAACGAAGGGGGGCAAAATGAATGGAAACACGTAATTATATTCCTTCTCACCATTTTGCATAAACAAAATGACAAAGAGCATCCTTAATAATTTGATATTATATGTAGTTACTGTAATGGATCTCTAGGTGTCAAAGTATGATTATCAACCCGTCGATTTAGAGAAAATAATTATGGATAAATTTTTCAGTCAATTCTTATAGAATGAAATAAATATTCAATTTAACATTATATTTTTAATAAAATTAATTTTATTTTTATAAAATTATACCAGAAAGTGAACAACCAGGGTTGTGATTCAACATTTCTAAAAGATGTATGTTCACAACATAAAACTTTAGAAACATCAGAAGCGCTCGTGTCTTGTCGGTCCCTTTAGCTTCACATCATGCAATGAGTATGTAGACTATATAGATCAGGTTGCCTTTGGAATAATCTAGATACTACAAGAATTGTGAATTTGAAAGACCGTTTTTTGGGGTCATTAATTTACGTTAAAAATTGGTCACTTTTTGCCAAAAAAAAAAAAAAAAAAAACCACCCAATGTTCCTTTTTAATAGTCTTTTAAGTGGCTGTAGTTTTAACACTAAAATGACAGTCAATGAATTTTTATAATTTTAAAGTGGTATCTTATAGGATCAAAATGATCATCTAAAATGAGCATTAAAAAAGTTTAATAAATAAAAAAAACACTAAAAACTATTGATTCTTGATATTAGAAGTGATCGAAAGCCCTAATTTATTAGCATTTAAAGTCACCAATTTCATCATATTTGAAAATAAAAAATGACAAATTAATATGCATATTCTAACAATTACATATATATATCTGATAGTTTTTTCAGTAAAACAGTCTTGAGTTATGATAATTTTAATTTATTTAATTGTTATATAATGAAAAAAAATTACTCCTCATTATAAAGCTGAAAACTCCAAAAACCTCCTAATAAGTAAAAATAAAAAATGATCATTTTGTCTCTTTTTTTTTAATCAATCATGGCATTTTTTTTAATGTTTTGTCACTTCTTAAGTATATAAATGTACTTTTTTTTTTTTTGGTCTTTAAGGGCCAACAAAAGGGCATCCACACCCCATATATCCATATATCTACAATCGGAATCATAAACTTTCCATGACTATTCAATTTATTATCAGATTAGCTTGTAAGCATATATCTATTCATGTGCATGTATCATAATATATATATATATATTAAAAACAAACTTGAATAAAAAATTATATAAAACTTTTAACATCCATCTATTTGAATTAATTAAATTTATAAGTAAATATTCAATTTTTTCTCACTCACACATATATATAATTCAACTTGCTAACTAAGTTTAGCATTCAACAACTATCAAAAAAATTAAGTTATTAGTCTTTTATGAACAAATCAATGCTATAAAAGTACCGGTCTTCAATTGTGTGAGCAGTTATGCGCTTTATCCACCAATATATATACAAACCCACTGTATCTGTTCCAACGAAACATTAAAAAAAATCTGAAAATATCAATAAAAAATATTACTACCACTAGTAATAATAACAATACTCATAAAAGAATTTAATAACTTAATTGAGTAGTGATGCAAAATTTATTAAAACAAGTGTGAGTCAAGAACGTAAATACATCATTTGTGATCTAGTTAGAGTACCATATCTCTCATTTCAATCCAAGTTTGATAGCTTGGGAATCAGTTTCTTATGTTGAGTGGCTCGGTGAAAATGAAAAAAATATAAACAAATTTCTTCAGAAAAGTCAAGCATTTAAAAACGTTCACAAAAAAGAAATTATTGAAAGATTTTCAGTCTATCAATTCACCTACATGGCCATACATGTCTAATTAAGCAACTCACAAGATTACAAGTAATGAACACAACTAATTTAAATAAGGATTATTTCATTAAAAAATAACATTTTGATCAATTGAAATATTAATAGATATTTTTGTTATTTGTTCATATTGCGAAGGTTAATTTCTAAATTTCATAATCACATAGCCATAATAGGATTCCTAGAAGTCTGGTGGAGGCAAATTTTATTAAGGGGACCAATTATCAATGACTATTATATAACACATATTAGTAGAGGGTGTATTGATAAGAATAATAATTTGGTTGGTAAATTTAGCAATACTCTTGTCATCATGAAACTATTTATGTATATGTAATTATTATTTTTTGAGATAAATGATAGAAAACTAAAAGATGAGCTAAATCTAAAAAAATTAAAAATTCAAAGATCTCCAAAACTAATAAAAAAGTTCATAAACCCAATCTCAAATAATTTAAAATTCAAGGATTGTTAGACTCTTTTAGCCAATTTTTAACTAGACTAAAATTATAATCTTCTTAAAGTTATTTGATTGATATAATTTTGATTTTAATATATAAATGTGATTTAGTTATAATAATAGACTCATTATTATTATTATTATTATAGATTTACATTAAAATTGCTCATTAGGTAATTAATAAACATTAAGTACCAATTTAAACTTATACGCTTTGTTATGAGGGGCGGAACTACTGCATAGTTTGGAAGGGCTATGACACCCCAAAATTTAACAAATTTTTCATTTTAGTCCGAGTGTTTTTTTTAAAAAAAGAGAATTCTCCCAATATAATTTATATCGGCAACCGAGTCCTAACTTCTTGGTTCTGCTTCTAATTGTTATCAATTATGTAACCTTCAATTTAAAGTATTTTTCTTAAAGTAACTTAATTGATTTTGAATTAGAATATTTGTTTGTATTATGACAGAAATAATATGAAATCAAACCAATCAATTAATTATTAATATATAATCTTAAATTATTTACGTAAAAAGGTACTTGCTCATCTTGTATTGTACATCAACAAAGTAATTAGGTTGATTTTTGTTTTTTTTTTTTTAAGAACTGTAATGCACTTTACAAAGTTCATGCGTGTAACACAATCTGTCTATGTTATTATTATTATTTTTTTTAATGACGAAAAACTCTCATTTGTTAGAACTGTATAGATATAGCTTTTTGATAGATAGGAATCAAATCATATAGATAAGGTCCACTCGGTTTTGATCATCTTTTAACGTTAAGAAATTATAAACTTGACTTAAAAAATCAACATGTATATGCTGGTCAGATTAATAAAAGCCATAATGATATTGGAAAAGTCGCCTTCTCTTTTGTTGGGTTGAAGTATAGGCAAAGTCTGATCCTATAAAGAAAAGGCATGGGCAACGTGCATAATTTTCTTTTATTTTGTGTAGATTCCAGACACAATTTTTCAAATTTTGTCAAAACATTTTCCGATTGAATTTGATTGATAGATATGGTTCAAAAGAAAAAAATAATAAAAATGAAGAAGAAAGAATTTGATTGATAGATGGTCGTACGTTCTTTAACAGGCTATTGCACGTTTGGATTTGTGAATATAAATATATATGCTGAGAAACATAAGTAATCATATTATATAGCAGGGTGGAGCCAGTCGATGGCGCTGCATCTCTCCTGATCCCTTTCTTCTTCCTTCGTAGAAGTTTACTTACTAATTGACCAGAGAAGTCTTACCATAGATCAGTTAAAACGTTTTGGATAATAAAAATAACATATGAGCACACGGGAGGGATCTATGGCCAAAGACTGGTTAGTTGCGTTGATAGAATAATGTTTTTTTTTTTTTTTTTTTGTTGAATTCCAAATCTGGGTGCATGGGGAATTCCGCGTGAAACAAGAAATTTAAGATGTTTATATTAAAAAATGTATCCGCAACAATTTATAATTTTCTTAGTTGAATATGGCGTTCATGAATCAATAAATTAATGTAAGCTTTTGTATGAAGATATATGTGTAAAATCGAAGATGACATTTCTAGTCCGCTGGTATATTCAACATTATTAATCATTAAAAATTCCCTTGATTGTTAGAGAAGATTTGAGAATGAAGAGGAGAGGTAGATTGCTTGATTTTTTTTTTTTTTAACAAGATTGGTTTAAATTTATGAAAAATACAATAAAGACTTCCTATTTCCATCCAATTCCTATCTATAGCGAGCTAAATATTTCTTTACATATTTACATAGTCATTTAAATCCACCGTACTTAATGACCTAATTTAGAGAACACAACACTTCTAAAAAAAGGATAAACAATAAGAAAAAACTTCAAGAATTGTGAGCTATTAGATTTGTGATGTTATGTGAGACTTAATTGTGAGTCCAACTAATTTAATGGCTGATGTGCATTCTTAAACTTTTTCTTCTTAACATTTAGCATCCCTGATCAATAATTTACACATTCTCTCGATGTTTGCCTATCAAAATGGGATTTCTTTTCAATGAAGAAAATGAAAATAATACAACTATACAGATCTATTTCCTTAACATGCTGCTTTACTAATTTCATAGCGCATTGTGTTAGTTGTTATTTCTTAAATGGAATAAATGCCTCATGACTTCAGCTGTTAAAAGTAGATTGCTTGCACCTGAATTGTTCTTTTATTCGATCGATTCTCAATCTCTGGTGGTCGAGGCTTAATTTCAATTTTTTTTGAGCAAATAATTTTTTTGATTACCCATCTATATTCGCATATCGATGCTTTATTACATTGAATTTTTTTTTTTGGACATAATCACTTCTTATTAATGAGACTTTTATTATTATTATTATTATTATTATAGATTTACATTAAAATTGCTCCTTAGATAATTAATAAACATTAAGTATCAATTTTAACTTATACGCTTTGTTATGAGGGGCGGAGCTACCGCATAGTTTGGAGGGGCTATGACACCCCAAAATTTGACAAAGTTTTCATTTTAGTCCTAGTTATTTTTAAGAGAATTCTCCCAATATAATTTATATCGGCAGGCAACCGAGGCCTAACATCTTGGTTCTGCTTCTGATTGTTATCAATTATGTAAACTTCAATTTAAAGTATTTTTCTTGAAGTAATTTAATTGATTTTGAATTAGAATAATTGTTTTTATTATGACAGAAATAATATGAAATCAAACCAATCAATTAATTAATAATATATAATCTTAAATTATTTACATAAAAATGAACTTACTCATCTTGTATTGTACATCAACAAAGTAATTAGGTTGATTTTTTTTTTTTTTTAAGAACTGTAATGCACTTTACAAAGTTCATGCGTGTAACACAATTTGTCTATGTTATTATTATTCTTATTATTTAATGACCAAACACACTCTCATTTGCTAGAACTATATAGATACAGCTTTTCGATAGATAGGAATCAAATCATATAGGTTACGTCCACACGGTTTTGATCATCTTTTGACGTTAAGAAATTAAAAGAGAATATAAACTTGACTTAAAAAATCAATATGTATATGCTGGTCAGATTAATAAAATCCATAATAATATTGGAAAAGTCGCCTTCTCTTTTATTGGGTTGAAGCATAGGCAAAGTCTGATCCTATAAAGAGGAGGTACGGGCAACGTGCATAATTTTCTTTTATTTTGTGTAGATTCCAGACACAATTTTTCAAATTTTGTCAAAACATTTTCCCATTGAATTTGATTGATAAATATGGTTCAAAAGAAAAAAATAATAAAAAAAGAAAGAATTTGAATATTGAGAGACGGTCGCACTTTCTTGAACAGGTTACTTCACTTGACCAGAGAAGTCTTACCATAGATCAGTTAAAACGTATGGTTGCAACAGAAGAACACCACATTTGTTTACTTTATTTGGATGATAAAAATCAATTATGAGCACACGAGAGTGATCTATGGCCCACTGGTCAGTTGTGTTGATAGAATAATGTTTTTTTTTTTTTGAATTCCAAACGTGGGTGGGGAATTCCGCGTGAAACAAGAAATTTAAGATGCTTATATTAAAAAACGTATCCATAACAATTTATATTTTCTTAGTTGAATATGGTGTTCATGAATCAATAAATTAATGTAAGTTTTTGTATGAAGATATATGTGTAAAATCGAAGATGACATTTCTAGTGCGCATATCTATTCAACATTATTATTAATCATTAAAAATTCCCTTGATTGTTAGAGAAGATTTGAGAATATTGAAGAGGAGAGGTAGATTGCTTGATTTTTTTTTAACAAGATTGCTTTAAATTTATGAAAAATAAAATAATGAATTCCTATTTCCATCCAATTCCTATCTATAGACAAGCTAAATTATGAGCTATTAGATTTGTGATGCTATGTGAGACTCAATTGTGGGTCCAACTAATTTAATGGCTCATGTGCGTTCTTAAAATATTTTCTTCTTAATATTTAGCATCGATCCCTCAATAACTTACACATTCTGTTGATGTTAGCCTATGATTAAAATGGGATCTCTTTTCAATGAAGAAAATGAAAATAATATGACTATCCAGATCTATTTCCTTAACATGCTGCTTTACTAATTTCATAGTGCATTGCGTTAGTTGTTATTTCTTAAATGGAATAAATGCTTCACGACTTCAGCTGTTAAAAGTGAATCGCTTGCACCTAAATTGTTCTTTTATTCAATTCTCACTCTTTAGTGGTCGAGGCTTAATTTCAATTTTTTTGAGCAAATAATTTTGTTTGATTACCGATCTATATTCACATATTGATGCTTTAGTACATTGATTTTTTTTTTTTTTGACATAATCACTTCTTATTAATGAGATTTTACAAGCCCAGCAAGTGACTTATGTTGCGTGACGAAAGAAATTAAATTAAAAAAGAAAGAAAAAGTTCTGTCCAATTTGAAGTGTTTATTCCATTTGAACTGGAGTAATTTGAGTTTAACACTTCCTTTCTTTGCTTAGAAGCAATGATACATCAAAGAAGATCAACACCCTCAAGTAATTTTTTTTTTGGGAATTGTGACAGATACTGAAATTGATGTAATTCAACATGTACATGCAACATTTTCTTTTAATCGATCTTAATACGCACATGCTATATGATTGATCAATAATTGGGTATCAAATTGTTAAATTGCCAACATAATACAGTCAATGTTATCCATCTGACAGCTTTGGTTAACAAGAGTTAAATTAATCTAAATCATTCTCCGCTTCAATTTCGGGGATCCATCATCCAGCTCTGATGAGAATGATGACGACGACGAGGACGTCCACAATAATGACTCCGAGGATGAGCGCTTATTAGTCACTTTAACAGGCCGATAGTCGTTGGAGCCTACCAGATGTGGAAAATTTAACTTAGCTTTTGCTCCTCGCATCTTAAAAGCAGCTTGGTCATAAGCCAGAGCTGCATCCTCAGGTGTCTCGTAAGTCCCTAGCCATATTCTTGCACCATTCTTCTTAGGGTCTCTAATCTCCGCCGCGTATTTCCCCCATGGCCTTCTCCTCACTCCCCTGTAGTTATTCCGCTCCTTTGGTGGCGTGGGGGATATTGCACTGGCAACATTTGTCTCAGGCTCATACTTAGCCGTGTTAGTGATTGTTGAATCAACAGGGTTCGAAGAAACCCATTGCATTTGCATATTGAAGGGTTCTGGCTCTAGAGTGTCATAGGCCACGGTTTGACTCGAGTTGTTTATCTGTGATAGAATATCACTCCAGTCGTTCTCTGTCAAGAAGAGCTTGTTAAAGCTAAAATTCCGGAAATATACCGATGAATTGGTAGTGTTTATCCCCAGTGAAGATTCATCGGCAAGAAGGTGCTGGCGAACTGACTCAATTTGATGGAAATCGGTTTGATTGTACATTTTCAGGTAGCTAATAGGATATTGGTATGTTTGTCAAGTGTACAGTGAGGATAGATTGTTTGGCTTTTGAAGAGGGTAAGAGTATATATATATACATTTTAGTTTCTTGAAATAGAATAGTTTGTGTTTCTATGAAGTTTCATTGTGGGAGTGGGCAGATGGCCTAATCAGTCACATGTTTCTAATGTTTTAGTTTTATATTTTATTAATTTATATGTTTATCGCTATACTCTGGCTGTATGTGTATTTCCTTAAATTGTAAACTACTGATCTCCAACTATTCTTGGTGAATAATTTCGAAATAATTGGCAGCTCAAAACGACAAGAAAAGAATAAAGATGTAAAAAAATGGGTAGTTGCTCTTCCACAACACCAAGAAGTTTTGCTTAGTCTCCAAGACTCCTTGGCCTCTGAACCACACAACACAGCAATCTTTGAATTACTTGAATAAATTGCCAATAAAGAAATTATTCTTCACAAACTAGGTTTTCCAAAATCATTTTCTCGAACAGATTTGGAAAATGTTTCTCAAAATGATCATCAAAATAGTATTTTACAAAGTTTTTCTTCAAGATCGATTTCCACAAATGTTGTTTCAAATGTACCATATATATATATATATATATATATATTATTTGTGTAAGGGGCGCCTATCAGTTTTCATTACTCTTGGACATGCATCCTAATTAATTTGTTAACCCAATTTATGGACAAAATATGACATAGGCTCATATTTCTAACTGATTATATTTGGATATACTTTCACTATTTAAAAAAAAAAATGACGCTTTTTTGTTGAGAAAATGAAAAATTATATTAATTCTAATACCACTTATTGGGAGAGTCACTTGGCCTACACCTGAGTCTACAAGCGTTAGGGCTTACACACAAGAATGAGCACCAATTTAATTAAAAATTTTAGATTAATAGATTATGAATCCATCTTCTATATAACTATATCATTTTTCTCATTTCTTTTTAATATGAGATATTTACCACTCATATATACACATAACATTATGTTATTTCAAATTAAGTTTATAATTAACTCAAAGGAGTTTACTTCGTGTTAAAAAGGTTTGCTCAATTCTTTAATTTTTTGGGTTTAATTAAATCTTAGAATTAACACTAATAAAAATATCATTATGTTTATCTAAATGCAACAAGTGGCTGTAAGTGTCTATTTTTAAAATATTCTAATAAGATACTTAATCTCAAATTAAATTTATAATTAATTTTAAAAGATAGGTTCAATAGTTAAAAAGTTTTGACCAGAACTATCTATTTGTGATAGGATATCCCTACAGCTTTCACTTGAAAAGAGCCGATTAAAGCTCAATCCGCGGGACTGTTTCAGCTTGAAGAAGGTGCTGGCTGATTTGATCGTAATAGAGAAAAATAGGATGGTGAGGTGGTTTGACAGTACATCTTTTTAGTAAGGAAGAGTCTGTATTTAATTGTTTTATTTATTTAATAATATAGTTCGGTATTTCCTTGAAGCTACATTGTTATGACTTATGGGAGGGAAAAACGAAAAAAAAAAAAAAATCTTTAAGTCACATGTTTCTAATTTTTTAGATCTTGTAATCAATTATTTGTTTGTTTGTCTATGTACTCATCTGCGTATTTCCACTTATGGCATGAATTATTAATCTGAGAATTATTTTAAACGGTAACTACTAGTTAAGAGAAGTGGATAGCGGAAACCCGATGACAAAAATACAAATAAAAAATTGGATGGCTTCAATTGTAACCTAATAGGTTGTAAGAAAATATAGTAAATTATAAACCAGTCATTCTCGTATAGAGAAACAATTTTTTTTTTTTTAAAAAAAAATTGATCATTTAGTCTTTCATTTTTCAATTATTAATTATGTTAATAACTTAGTTTTTTTTTTATGAGTTTTTCGTTAAATTAGTAATTTTTTTTAAATTATCCTTTTTTTATTTATGGTTGAAGAGAGAGAACTAGAATGAGTGAAAAAGAAAAATAAGACAGGAAAACAAAATAATTTAGAAGAAAAAAATACTAATTAATTTAACAAAAAACTGATGAAAAAATTAAATTATTGATGAAATTAAAAATTTAAAAGCCAAATGATTAATTTTTAAAATGAAAAAAGACTAATTAATTCATTTATCAAAACAAGAGGGACTAATTTATAATTTACTTTAAAAGAAATACTCTTATTTTATTTTATATTTTTTAATTTATTTTTTCACAAGAGCAAGGGTGCCCTGTATCCATTACATTTGCACATGCATTTTAATTAATTAATCCAACTAATCTCTTGATTAAGAGACAAACGGAACAAAGACCTTTCTTTTGGAACTTGTTTCATGTGCGATTGTTGGGAATCTTCAAAGGATTTAAATTTGAAAGAGGATTAATTCTATCCTTTCTTTATTCCTTTTAGACTGTCCATTTTTGTTTACGTTCAGAATTTACGTAAGCAATGAGATTTCACTTCCAATATTACGACAAGTGAAAATGATTTATCATTTTCTTGTTTAAAGCTTAGGATTTCCACTAAGCAGTTTCTTTGCTTGAAAACCACGATATGAAATTGGAATCATACAGAACAATTTTTGAAGGAGACAACATATATAAAATGTTTGAACTAATTAAACTGGAGTTAATAGATTAACTTTATGTATCAAAATTTATCAGCCAAAAATCTCATCCTGTGGATAGCATATTATTTGATTTGTTTGTTAACAAATGACCAATGGCAATTATTATAAAATGGTTACAGTATTATATATATATATATATAGTTAGTAGAACCTTGTAGTCTAATTATAAATCAAACATCCTTAAGACAAGATAATTGTATTATTATAATAAAGGCCGTTTGACCGATCACTATTAACTATAAAGTTAAAGAGTGCTCTAACCTTCTCTTAATCTTACAATAGAGCAACTATGACCTCTTTAATTTTACAAAGAACTCACTACGTATACTAGACTACAGATTTGTTGGTCTAAGATAACTCGTAATTCGATTCAAGTTCTCACACTGATCTTGACTTGCAAGTGATTTATGGTTATGGCAATTGAAACCCAAGTATTAACCTGATCAGTGTTTCTTAATCACTTGTTCATTTAATTTCTTGGACTGGTATAAATGAGAAAAGACTGATTTCATTACTAGAGGAGACGAAGGTTCCATTATGCATCTGGAGTTTTGTGACCAAGCAGGATGAAATATGACCGGCGAACTTTTTATTTTGCATCATTTTGTAAAGCATAAAAAAAACCTAGCTGCTGGATTCTTCCCTTTTAGTATTAACCAATCCATACCCCCTGTTGGTTGATTATTTTTATTAATTTGTTTAGTTTCTGGAGATGCTATAAGAGAATCTAAAGAAGCAAAAGTTTGAATTGAAAAATCATTTATTTCTATTATTAAACAAAAAAATTTTGCCATCCGAAAACTCTAGCCGGACATCAAGAGTCAAATCTATATGTCCTTCTCTTGGACTTCGGAGATTCATAATCCAATTCCGACAACGATGAAACAGAAGACGATGACGAAGATGGTTCAGGCGAGGATCGCTTATTAGTCACTCTAGCTGGTTCGTAATCGCTTGAGCCAATCAAATGTGGAAAGTTAAGCTTAGCTTTTGCACCACGCATTTTAAAAGCGGCCCGGTCAAATGCCAAAGCTGCATCCTCCGGTGTCTCATAAGTCCCGAGCCATACTCGTGCACCATTTTTCTTGGGATCTCTAATCTCGGCCGCATATTTTCCCCATGGCCTTCTCCTCACCCCCTTATAATTCCTCCCTTTTGGTGGTGGCAAGTTGGATGCATCAGCCACACTTACTTCAAGCTCATAGTTAAATGTAGTGGTTCTTGAATGAACTTGATTCCATAGAGACCATTGCACATTAAGATACTCTGGCACTGGAGGGTCATAGGCCACGGTCTGACTGCAGTTATGATCTATTTGTAATAGAATATCACTCCAATTCTCCATTGAGAAAAACCTATTAAAACTCAAGTTCTTGCAATAAACCGGCTGTGCGTTAATGCCGGTGTTAATCTCTGGAAGTGGTTCATCTTCGAGAAGGTGATGCCGAATTGATTCCAATAGAGCAAAATCGGAGCGTGAGGCAGTTTGACCGTCCATTCTTTTCTTTGAGTATTAGCTTCGATGAAGAGAATAAGTTGTTTGTAAGAACTTTTGAGGAGAGTGAGATGGCTTTTTCAGGAGTTTAAAGTTATGTATATATACGATAATATTTGAAGGTGGTTTGATGTTTCTATGAATTTTCATTTTTCTAAAGTGGGAATAAGATGGGTATTCAGTCACATGTTTTTAATGTTTTTGGATCAAATATATTTCTGTACTCACATATTTCCTTGAAATATGTAAATTATTCTTCTTATTCTTCGTGAATAATTTAATTGCAAAGGACAAATGCTATGTAGAGGTGGAGGGACGTCTCTTTCGCAGATGATTTATAAAAACAAAAAACTCATTGCAGAAATACAACACTGATATAGATACTAGTGACATCATCATTCTAACTACTGTCTCATCCATTAACTGGCATTGATACAGTAAGCTAAAAGAGTTAAAAGGCAGTGTAATGTCAAATTAATGAAAGGGACATTCTGAAGGTTACAATTTAATTGATTGGATTATGTTGAAATTTCACCTAGAGAGAAGAAAAAGTAGGAAGCATCCAATGCATTTCCTCAATTAATGGAGGAAATGGGACATGCTCCTGGCAATTGTAATACTTTATGATCAGTTTATCCGTTTGTGTTCTTCCTTTAAACAGTACACTTTTGTGTGCTCAATTTTTTTTATTACAAAATTCATTATATATTATTTTTATTTATATAGGGTTTGGCGCATTTTATATAACGTGATTGTATGGTCCTGAAATATTGGTGTTCGATCCTTCTAAACTAATCGGCTGGTACACCGAAGACTAACGTTTCTCTTTCACAAAAATATAGAATAGACCCTATATATTTTTGTGAAAGGGGAAAATAACGTTTTGGTATATTTAATAATTTCTTTGATATGCCTTTATGGTGTTTCTAGCTTTTTCTTCCAATTTTTTTTAATTCTTAATCCCTAGTTTCACGTGAACAATTAAATTAAGTTAGAAAAAAGAATAAGAAACAAAAAGATTTAGAAAATAAAGAGAGTGATAAAAATAACCTAAATTATAAGTAGAAATTAAGAAAAATATCTTTTCCTCCGGTAATTGAAATTTGCTCTTCCCATTGGCCCAGACCATTAATTTTGTCTTTTAAATAGCTAAGGACCGTTTTTCTTCCCCAACAAAATAAGAAAATGTTGTAAAATAAAAAAAACTTCAAAATTTTGGAGTGATTACTATTTATTTACTATTCATCCTCATCATTTTACTATTTACTCACTATTCATCTGAGCATTATTCATTTAATATTATTATATTAAATGACATTATTGTGATTTTTAATCTTTATTTAGGCATTTGATATGGTGTATTAAATGACATTATTGTGACTTTTAAACTTTATTTAGTCATTTGATATGAGCATTTGTAGTTTTAAACCTATGTTTAAGTATTTGATATGCAAGTTTTGACAAATATTACAATTTGATTTCTATTTTTTATGTAATTTTATTTGTTAATAAATATAATTTATTTTCTCTGTGTATGGATTTTCGAATAATTTTTTTAGTTGTTTTTATTTTTTTATTCTTTAGATAATCAAATTTTAAAAATAGAATTCACCTATTTTATTTGTTTATTCTTATATAATCAGATTTTATCAAAATCAATTTTATAGTTGTTGTTATTGCATTCTACTAAATTTATTGTATTTTTTACAACTTAATTTTTTAAAAAATATTTTTCAATTCATGCTGCATACTCGACTCACTAATTATGGTCATGATTTATTAAAAAAAATTAGGATAATTGATTTTATTGAAATTAATTATGCATCTACACACATAACACCAACCATACACTATTATTTTTTTAATATTTTAAAATTAAACTCTTTCAAATAAATAAATTAAAATAATATTTTAGAAGAACCGCCTAATAATTCAAATATAATTTTTTATACTAATATTATTCATTATTTTTTAAATGAATATATATAAATAAAATATACATATTTTCAAAAGTTACTATTATCATCACTATTAAATAAGAATAAAAAAGATTAATTTGTTATTTTTTATAAAACTTTTTATATTAAGTATTTCTTCTTTTTTTTTTTAAGCAATGATATGAAAAAAATTATTAAGATATTTTTTTTAAAAATTTTATATTAAATTTATATTTCGATTATTATGGGTTTTTATTTAAGAAAAAATACATAAGAAATAAAAAATTCTATTTTTTTAAGTATAAAATTTATTAAAAACATACACACAAAAAATGAAATAAAAAATTTTGATTAAAATTATAAAATTTTATTTTTTATATTTAATATAATACATTTTAGTTGATCGACAACATAATACATGCTATCAAATTATAATAAATATTTTTAGTTTGACCTATAGCGTAACGTGAAAAGTCGATTGGTACCCATTATTTTGTATTCCATTCACTTAAATTAACTTTAAGATATTTTTATATATAAAATTATTAGAGAATAATATAAAGTTTTTTTATAAAGTATCATCAAATAACTTAATTTTTTAAATTGAAATAGACTTTTAACATAATATTAAAATTTTGATGATCAAACAGTTATGAGTTGGAATTTCATAATTTTTTTTATTAAAATATAATTAAGCACAAGATAGTGTTGGATTTTTTTATGAAAATTAGATATTGGTGACTATTGTTGTTATTTTTTTTAAAGGTCACATGTTTTCAATCATATATTTTTATTTGTTTCCCTACTCATCTGCATGGATATATATAATTTAAATATATAAATTAGCTTGTGTCTATATATATATATATATATATTAGTCTTGTGCTTCGAGAATAATAATGCTAACAGCATAATGTCGTGATGAAGTGGTGGGCGGTCACTATTGCGACAGAAAGGATTAAAAATCAACAAAGTGCTACAGTACAACAATGATCTAATCACTTTCTCATCAGCTGACGTGCATTCAAACTAAACCAAAGACGAAGGGAAGTATAATATGTATAACGTGTGGCAGGGACACTTTGGTTTTGGGATATTCGTGAATTGAATATGTCGATTGATATTGAGAAAAGGAGAAAATAAAAGTCGGAAGCATCCAATGTATTTCCTCAGCTAATGGAGGAAATTGACTATTATAACTGCTTCTGCTTCCCTTTTATTAAGTAGAATCATACTCATGCATGCGCGACTGCCATTGCATATTATATAGTATTATTTATTTATGTTTCTTCATCGTCGACATGTGCTCTTTGACGCTGTTTCTTACTTCTTTCTTCTTCCTTGTTCTTTTTCATTAGGGTCGGTTATATGGATATTCTTTTCTCATCTGCTCAAACAAGGTTATTTATTTCTTTATTTTTTTCTTTTACTTCGTTGCCGCATTATTGATTTATTTTATATATATAGACATTTTTTCTTTCAAATATGTGATTCACAATATTTTGTATTTTGTTTGTATGCTATACATGCACAAAACAGTAATTTCAATGCATTTCGTGCAAAAACCTTATCATATCTATACATGGTATCTCAACAGATTAGGTTCGATGATAGAACAAAAGGAGGCCCCAATAATTTGGAGTTGTCGTGGCCGCTGAATGAAATCACATGAAATAAAAATCTTAATTTTGGAGCCGTAAATCTTTTTACTTCAGAATTAAAAAAGAAAATGAAAAAAGAACAACACCTTAGAATCAATATGAAATATCAAATGCACACGAGTTAATTTAAATTCCTTTTCATTATATATTTTCTTAATGATTCATGGATCACTTATTATGACATCCTGTAGAAAATTAATCGATTAAGGTGATCATCCAGGGAAAAAATAAAAAAGCTGAGGTTCAAAAAAAAAAAAAAGAGAGAGAGAGAACCTCTAAATGAAAGTCCTAAAAGACCAAATTAACAAAGAGAATCTCAAAATAAAAGTAGCATAAAGTCCTACTACAAAGTAACCAAAACACAACAAGAGGAAATAACAGGACGCAGGTAGCATAAAGCATGTCGGGTATTTTCATGTTGCAACTTCTATGCAGAAACCGAAATGAACGTCAGAGATGTTGTTCTTATGACTTATATTTTTTGAAATAATGACCAAGAAAGAGTGAGTGGTCTCCGAGTTTGTAAACTTAGTCACCTTATATATATATATATATGGTTTTAGAGTGTTATAAAAGCATATATAAAAGTTGAGATGTTTTCTTTGAAATGTAAGAATTAGTGTACAAAGAGCTTTGAAGATGGCGATTGAAGACTATGAAGACGTCTTTATAATTTCTAAAGATATTTACATTTCTTTTCTCTTACTAGTTGGATTTTATATTCTGCATATGTATTACATGTGTTTTGCAACAAGAAATATTTTTATGTGTTTCAAGAAGAAAAGATTGGCATCATATCTTTTGATGGTGAGTCGTTTTGTAATGTTTTTAATCTTGAAATGATGTAAATCAAAATATTTATAGGAGTGATCTGTACTTTGGATGATGTAAATCAAGGCCCATTTAATGCTGCCCTTGGTCCTCTCTTAGATTAATTTATGTTTGATATATGTGAGATGAGGATATTTTGAGATAAAATGTTGTTGATATAATACGCGATGCCACAAATTTGGGATAATTTACCTGCCTTTCATTTAGTGGAAAATAAAAAAAGAAAAATGGAAAAGAAAACCACACACTGTCCAGCAGCCCAAAGTAAATCAAACGAAGAAGAAAAGGACACGCATCTTTTTGAGCCCTGATGTGCTTGCCTTTGCCCATATTGATAGTTCAGAACAAAGAGCAACAGATGGAAACTGATGGTTAACATAGAAATTAGTGTCACAATCGTCACCAGATATAGCCAATCGATCCAAAACTTGTAACGGATGAAGTTGGCGATCCAGCAGCTTACTTTGCTCTCTTTAATTACTTTTCAAAAGCAAGGAAAATAATATAAAATTATATTATTAGGCATCATCTACGTGATTGTGTTTTTGCATTAATATATTTCTTTTACTAGTCATATGTGCTAAAAAAATATATAATTTATCTATGAACTAATAATAAATTAAGACAAAATATGGTCAAGAAGGTTATTAATTAGGAAGTGCATCCTGACCACCTTTACCATTGCAAAAATTAATAAGCCAGTTCACACATGAGCTAGATGTATAGTTTTGAATTTTTCTTTTTGTTCAAGTTTTGTGTTTTGTCCCAAATTCCTAGGCATTCGGTAAAACAAGTACTGAAACTATCCATCTTTTAACTTTTTTTTTCCTCAAATGATGCTTATAAAACAACTGCAACTCCTTTTAATCTAGCCAAGTACATTTTGCATGGATCGGTAATTTTTTATTTATTCCCATTGGTAAAAGTTTATGTTTTTTCCTATTTCTTTTCCGTATATTTTTTTGTTGCGTTCAACTTTTTTCAGGAAAAAAAAAAAAAAAGGGCACTAGTTGCAACCATAACGAGTGCTAACTGCTAAGGGCAGATAAATAAATCCAAGCCTAAATTTCTTTCCGAAGACGGGTCCTAAGCCCATCAATGGGCCTACTTAATTGCCGAGATGAAAAAAGCCTTGCACAGAAGAACCTAGGCTCAATCAGCAACTAGGCCCTGTCAAGAAACAAGTAAAATACTGTCACCATTTCTTCTCTTTTCTACCCCTTTCCTTTTCGTAAAACTGTAGATGTAATCGTAGTACCCATCACATGTTTGTTAATATTCCAGCTGAAACTTTGTGTGTGTTATTTCTTGTTCTTAAACAGTTGAATTATCAATGGACTATTGGACTGGTGTTTTTAAGATCCCATCGGCACCTACTAGCACAAGTTACTGCAGAGTTGCAGTATCTCTCTGCCTTTCAACTGCTTCCAAAACCCTTGCTGTAAGCCCTTTTTTGCTTCAACTTTGAAGAATAAAAAGAGAAAAACAATCTAAAATTTTTTAATTTTTTTGACACCTAGGTGCCTGCTGCAAATGCAATTTTTTTCAATGGAGATAGAGTTGAAGGGACCAAGGATCCCGTGATTGAGAGATTGTCTGATTTGCAAAAAATAGCTGAAATTTTGGTTTCTAAATTTGGGGGTTGTGTTAATGCTTATGTTATTGAGGCTCCTGTTTTCAATGGGCCTTTTGCTGTTTATAAAGATTTTATTCCATCCGTGAATCGTTATGGGGAGCCAAAATCATATAACCCGGTTGGAATGCCGGCTTCCAACTCAACCGTCACGGTCTTATTGAATTGCCTGAAAGAGGTATGTTTTATTGTTATTTCGGTAATTCGAGCTCCGAAATGGTGTATTGAGAATAGATAGAGAAGCTGCCATGAAAGCTTTTTTCTCTTTTCCATTTGTAGTTTCTTATATGCCATAATTTGTTGATTTTATTAATGTGTTAAAAATTCACAAGGGTGCAGATAATTTGGTAAATTATTGTATTGTTCATGCATATATCAAAGTTGTTACTTTTTTTTTTTTTTTTTTGGCTGGGTTTTTTTGGTTCTGCCCGTTCTTGCATTGGAGTCATAATTATTGATGTCAATCAATATCCTGAACGTGTTGTTATTGCAGGCTAAGAAAGTGATTTCAAGAAGAGAGCAAGAACCATTGTGCAATAATGTATCTGCCTCATCTTTTAATCGGCCGAAAACATACATCCTTGGATTTAGCAAGGGTGGCACTGTGCTTAACCAGCTAGTGGCTGAGCTTGGTTCATTAGAAGTACAATCCCATATGAAACCACAGCCAGCTAGTGGAGAATTTTCGAATGTTCAAGAAGAGATTCAAATCATACCGATTGCTAAAGAAGGCCTTTTAAACAGCATTTCAGAGATCCATTATGTGGATGTCGGTTTGAACTCTCCTGGTGCTTATATCACCAACCATGATGTGATTGAGAGAATATCCAAACGTCTTATGCAAGGTGCTCTGGGAATTCGTTTTGTCCTCCACGGAACTCCTAGGCAATGGTGTGATAGCAACCGAGTTTTGATACGTAATGAAAAAGACAAACTGCTTCATCTGCTTGTATCTGAAGCTCGAACAAGTGGAGGGAAATTGCAGGTGTGTGAGAAATTTTACTTCGGTGATAGGCCTCCTGATCTGCAAATGCACTTTGAAATAATTGAAAATATCGATGTTTGTTGAATGTTCCATAATCTGCATATTCTAGGTGCCGCCATGACTGCCATAAATTGTACACTACTTGTTGGATAAAGATGTTGAGGTGATGCTAATGGTACTTCCGTACATGTACAATGCTTGATCATACGGAATAAAGGAATGTGTTTACGAATACAAACAAAGAAATGGCCTTCAACATTGCATAGGCATAGGTAATTTCAAGATTAGTATTTTTAACTATCTTTGTTTTGAGGATTGGCATATTGAATATGTTAAGTAATTTCTGTCGTTTTAAAGTAGGGCCTGCCGTACTATGCCGTCCTTGGGACGCTGGAAGTGTTGAAAGAAAAACAAAAACAAGTGTTCCCCTGGATTCCTAGGAAATGCTGTTGTTTTCATTTGGGATTTGTATTAACAATCAATAATCTTGAATTTATTATGGAGACAATAATGAAAAGCCCTTAGTTTTTTAGTAGTGGGACTGCTGTGCAACTTTGTGCGCCAGCACTAAGGAAAAACAAAAAAAGGCATTGTTGCCATTCATGTTCTGAATAGGTCCAATCCCCTGATTGTTGGTCTCTGATCGCTGTATATTATGTTATATACAATTGTATTTATCATGATAGCCCACGCGTTATGAGCTTAATTCGAAAATTAAAAAAGAAGAAGCTTAATTTGACACAGAAGGAACTCATATAATCTCTATTTATTTTCCCTTTGAGAAACATATAATCTCTATTTATGATCCAGTTGGCTAGAATTTCCTTTCTTTTTTTAAACCTAATGGCGAGAAAATAATAAATGGGCATTTAACCTAATTTTAATCGCCCTTCCGAGATAAAGAGTGAAGAGTATAATTCATGTTCAAATAATGTCCAGATTGTATCCTTTCAGAAAATTACTAGACGGACAGAATTTATATGGACTAAAACTGTGATCGATTTGGTGCAGTTGGTCCTTTAAGCGTGCTGCTGTAATGGTGCGTATAATAATCCAGGTGACCAAAAAGAAAGAGCGCATGAAGAAGAAATGAAATAAACGGCTTTTCAGATTCACAATGGGCAAAAAACTTGACGATAATGCAACAAAATATAACATGGAAAATAACTAAAACATTAATTCCCAAGCAATGACCTCGTTTTTTTCCCTAACAACGCTTATGGAAGTTAAGTGCAATACTAGGCATTTATCAGCCAGCAGTTTCACTAAAAAAAAATAGTATTCATTTTTTAAATGTTTTTCTTTTGTTGTTCCTGAAAGAATCAAAATTCCAAATTGCAATCAGAAAAAATGCACACACACAAACTATTTCCCTCGTGACCAAAAATATGCTTTATTTTGGACGATGACATTGTCTGTATATGGAATGCAACAAGTTTCTGCAACATCTATCTGTTATTTTGGCGGCAAGCCGGTTAACTGTCATTTGAAATTTTTAGGACAGTAGTTTGTGATATTGGCCGGCGGATCTTCACAAGCAAATGACATCGTCTTATAGTACATGGAGCTTTCATATTCATTCCAATCATTCCCATATGTCACCCTCCATTTCTACGCCATCTGGATATTCGCGTTTTTCATTACTAATTCTTTATTCCTGTATCTTACTTTGCCCATTTCAAACTGATTTTTATGGGTTAATATTTCTTGTTGGATTATAGTATATATAATTACTACCTTTAAGGTCATGCAGGCAACAGTTGCACCATTTTAGATCTAAAGAATCCTGGGTTCAGGCCAAATAGGTTGAAAGAGTTCTTGAAGAATATTTGCTTGAGCTAACCAGGCAGTTCTATGTTGAAGAGTTTTGGTTTTTAGCATTACATAGGTATGAAGTTGTAAGTTCTCTTTTTGCATGTGGCTTTTTCGGTGATTATAGGTTAATAGGAATTGCTTAATTAGTAGTTAATGCACTTCAATGTGTTCGAATTTTAATTGCATATATTAATGATATATGAAACTTGTGAGTTTCTTGAGGTTGCAGTTTCATTTTTTGTTTTATGTCTTTCTTTCGTTCCCTCATTTTGGCTCTGATTAAGCTGTGTTTGTTCCTAAATTATAGCCCTTTTCTTTTCGTTTTTTTTTTCCTTTGTATTTGTTCTGGTTTTTAATGGGATCAAAATTTAGAAAGCTGAAGGAAACTGCTTTATGAAATCATAAAGATAATCAAGTCTTGTGGGATTTTTAACTTTAGTAGGGAGTGACTGTCATTGCTCAGATATGAAGTATTTGGCTGTGCAGATTTCCTTTCAAGGACCAACATCTTACAGCGTGGAGAGTAAAAGCTGAAGGATATCCAAAATGATTGAGAATTCGATTGCCCTTGATGCCATTAACAAGGAAGCTGTTGATCTGGTATGTCCTTATCTTGCTGCTCATGTCATGTTCAGTTTTGACAGCAGCAAGCCTTAGATTACCAATAAAATTGTGTATCTGTTGTCTAAACAACCTACTATGTTCATATCTTGCTTCATGCTTATGTTGAATGTCTTGCACTAAGACACCTATTAATTTGGTGAAAATGAAAATGGCTTCATGCAGGAAAATATACCCCTTGAAGAAGTTTTTGACAATCTTAAATGTACAAGAGAAGGTTTGACCGCAGATGCAGCTCAAAAGCGTTTGGATTTGTTTGGGTACAACAAACTTGAAGAGAAAAAGGTTGGAAAGGAAATGTTCATCAGTGCATCATTTTCACTCTGTGTTCTATGTGATTTTTGATTGATTTATTTGTTCTTTATTCTGCAGGAAAGCAAATTACTGAAGTTTTTGGGATTTATGTGGAATCCACTATCATGGGTCATGGAAGCTGCAGCTCTCATGGCCATTGGTCTTGCACATGGAGGGGTGAGTCTATATCTTAATTCATCTAGCTTCTTGGTAGAATGAGTTATCATGCATTTGCAATGTCATTTGATGATCGGTGTAGCAACTTGAATCATGAGATCGTTGATTCTAATGATGAGGTCTTGGTTCGAGTCAAAGCAATTTGTCAAAATTACAGAATCAGAGGTGATTACATAGATTTTGATAAAGGCCTTATTTTGCAGAACAAGAGTGCAGACTATCATGATTTTGTTGGCATCATCACCTTGCTTATAATCAATTCAACAATCAGTTTTATAGAGGAAAACAATGCTGGCAATGCAGCTGCTGCTCTTATGGCTCGGTTGGCCCCGAAAGCTAAGGTCTCCAGCGTTCCCTTTTCTTTGAATTTTCCATTATCTTATATTGCTGCATACTTTGACTTCTATCTCCACTTACCAGGTTCTGCGTGATGGAAGATGGAGCGAAGAAGAAGCTTCGGTGTTGGTTCCTGGGGATATTATAAGCATAAAACTTGGTGACATTATTCCTGCTGACGCACGTCTTTTGGAAGGAGATCCTTTAAAGATTGACCAGGTACTTATTGAAGACAACAACATGAGCATGCAAGTAAATAATTTTTAATTTCTGGGTGAAAATTGAGTTGTGGGATCTCTGTTCATGCCTTGCTGAGTATGTGATGAGAAAGTGAACTGCTCTCGCTGTGAGAATTTACTGGAGGAGGAAAACTGAAAAGAACTTTTATCGTGCCACCTTACTTAAGATGATCATAAGTTTTGCAATGAAATTTCAAATGTTTACCTTTGGTTTTCAAATACTGTGATTGCAGTCTGCTCTTACTGGAGAATCACTTCCAGTAACCAAGAGTCCTGGTGACGGAGTTTACTCAGGTTCAACATGCAAGCAGGGTGAAATCGAATCAGTTGTCATTGCAACTGGAGTTCACACTTTCTTTGGCAAGGCAGCTCATCTTGTTGAGAGCACTACACATGTTGGACATTTCCAAATGGTTTGTCTAAGAGCTTTATAACTTTCTCCGCATAATAATGAAAAATCAGGTTAAAAGAGAATGTTCTTGATGTCATGCCTGAATTCTGAATCATTTCCAAGCACAGATAATAGACATTGTCGTTATCAAGCCTAAACCTTCGTTGAAGTGAAAACCATAGTAGTGTTGCTTTAAAACTAGCTAACCAGCTAAATTTGTTTGATGGCTCCAGGTTTTAACCGCTATTGGAAACTTCTGCATTTGCTCAATTGCAGTCGGGATGGTTATTGAGATCATCGTGATATATGGGATTCAAGAGAGGGGATACCGTGTTGGCATTGATAACCTACTTGTCCTGTTAATTGGTGGGATCCCAATTGCAATGCCCACTGTTCTGTCAGTTACTATGGCTATTGGTTCGCATCGCTTGTCTCAGCAGGTTTGTGGAACCATAACCAAAGTTTGTTGATTAGCTTCAAAACCCTTTGCTTCATTTAATTTAAATAGTCATCATTAATGATGATAAAGTTGACAGAATATCGAATAACAGCCATCTTTGTCTTACACAGGGTGCTATAACAAAGAGAATGACTGCCATTGAAGAAATGGCTGGAATGGATGTCCTTTGCAGTGATAAAACAGGAACATTGACTCTCAACAAGCTTACAGTGGACAAAAATATGATTGAGGTTCTACTCTTGATTTCTCTCTACGCTCAACTTTTTATGATAGCATGGCATCAAAATTAGTATACAAACTCACAAGAAAAAAAGAAAATGGAACTGGCTTTATTAGAATTACAATCACTAAATTCCATAAAGAGAAGGACCCTTTAGTTCACTTCTATTGGCTTTCATCAGAGAAGATGAATCCACTCAGGCAAGCAAATGATGCATGCTCCTAAATTGATAAGTGTTAAAAATGCAAGTGGAAGATGAACTGGCTTTCTGCATAAAGATCTGGCCTGTTGGAGATGAATGAAAGAGTTGGATGTGTAAAAGAAAAGGGAAACCATGATTCTTCTTGTCTACTTCCTTCCACTCAACAAATGAAGAGAAGGAACTGATTACAACTTACAAGGCCATCCAAATCACCTTTCCTATATAAATTTTTATTTCTAATAATGATACGTGAAATAGAATTTGTTTTCATCTAAGGCATTATCCATCCTCTTGCAGGTTTTTGCCAAAGGAGTTGACAAGGATATGGTGGTGCTTATGGCTGCAAGAGCGTCAAGAATAGAGAACCAAGATGCTATTGATACTGCCATCGTTTCCATGTTGGCAGACCCTAAGGAGGTATTTGATTAAGTTCTTGAATTTTGGGCTTGTCATTTTATTGATACAGTAAAAATGCTTCTAGAATGTCTTCAAGGGTCAAAATGTTAATGTTACAAAGTTAGTTTGTGACTTTCCGTACTTTGATGAACTATCTACTAAGAATTTTTTGGGTGTAATGTCAGATGATAGTTTTTGACTTGCACATATTTTTGAAAACCCATATCAGCATTTTCTGCAGGATTTAAATTTACAGTTTGTGTAACTGGTCTCCGCTTTCCCTGTGACCTTTGACAACCCTTGTTATGTATTTTGTAATTGTTTCTAAGGCAAGAGCTGGGATTCAAGAAGTTCACTTCCTTCCATTTAATCCAACTGACAAAAGGACAGCTCTTACATACATAGATGCTGCTGGGAAAATGCACAGAGTGAGCAAAGGTGCGCCAGAGCAGGTAAAACATAAAATATTAAGATTACAGGAATAACCAGTTAACCATAATGTGCAACATCTGAGCTTTTTGCATTTATGCTGCCTAGATTCTCCATCTGGCACGCAACAAAGCAGAAATTGAGCGAAGGGTACATTCAATAATTGACAAATTTGCAGAACGCGGACTAAGATCTCTTGCGGTTGCCCGCCAGGTGACTAATGAACTCTTAATGCTCTAATATATGCATGTTATATTTTCTTCTCTGTGCAATTTTGAAACAGTGAAGTATCATTCTTCTCCAGGAAGTGCCTGCTGGTACAAAGGACAGTCCAGGTGGCCCCTGGGAATTTGTTGGGCTTCTCCCACTCTTTGACCCTCCACGCCACGACAGTGCTGAAACAATTAGACGAGCGCTGAATCTTGGTGTCAGTGTTAAAATGATCACAGGTAGGGGCTCTAATATTATCACCATCTAAATGTGATTCTTGTCCTTTATTTCACCTGTAATTCCTATTTAATAAGTTTTGTTTCTTTTATCTTTTGATTGTCAAACTTTGAGGAAACAAAATAAGAAAATTACTCTTCAGGTGTTCTATGTATCTGAGTTAAACTTTGCACTTAAAATTTACAGTAGATGTACCTCTCATGTATCCGAACTGTGATTTCATCAAATGAAAATCTCCCTTTAGGTGACCAACTCGCAATTGCCAAGGAAACAGGAAGGAGGCTTGGAATGGGTACAAATATGTACCCATCTTCATCCCTGCTTGGCGAAGACAAGGATGAAGCAGTCGGCGGACTTCCAATTGATGAGCTCATTGAGAAAGCGGATGGTTTTGCTGGTGTCTTCCCCGGTATGGCGTTAGTCGTATTTTAGAGACCGTAACTGTTCTTGTTTTTATGATTCTTATTCCATTTTTCTCCGTTGCAGAACATAAATATGAGATTGTGAGGAGACTACAAGCTAGAAAGCATATATGCGGAATGACTGGTGATGGAGTGAATGATGCCCCTGCCTTAAAGAAAGCTGACATTGGAATTGCTGTGGCAGATTCAACAGATGCTGCTCGCAGTGCCTCCGATATAGTTCTAACGGAGCCCGGGCTGAGTGTAATCATTAGTGCTGTCTTAACAAGCCGTGCAATCTTCCAGAGAATGAAAAATTATACAGTAAGCTTACAGACTTGAATATCTGTGATATTCAAGATTAATCAGACTATGAGTGAAACTTCGATTTTTTATGAATCCAATTTTTTTTCTTTTTTTGACAGATATATGCAGTGTCTATCACTATACGTATAGTGGTAAGCTTCCCTTGAAAAATGAAAACTATAATTTTACAAATGAAAATTTTTAAAATGTCTCGTACCGTTGGATTTGTCTAATTTGGAACGGCTTTTGTACAACAGCTAGGTTTCATGTTGCTGACTGTCTTCTGGAAATTTGACTTCCCACCTTTCATGGTTCTTGTCATTGCCATTCTTAATGATGGTTAGAGTTACTAGCTTCTCTCCTTCTAGTTATTGATCCTAAGGGTTATATATTCCATTTTGTTTGTCATTATGTTTCATTCATATTATGTCTCTTGCTTGTTGTTTGATTTAAATCTTTCTTTTCAGGTACTATAATGACCATATCCAAGGACAGAGTCAAGCCTTCTCCTCTACCTGACAGTTGGAAGCTCAGTGAAATTTTTGCTACTGGTGTTGTGCTTGGTGGTTATCTAGCTCTAATGACAGTCATATTCTTCTGGTTGGCTTATGAAACTAACTTCTTCCCGGTAATTCCTTTTTGTTATTTAACATTATCAAGCTATGACCTATTTGACCAGTTCAACCTCTTGACCTTTCTAGTTCCTGATTTCATTTTTTTCTCTTGGCAGGAACATTTTAATGTGAGGGACTTCAACCAGCACCATTTTAACATGACGGATGAAAAAATTGCCAATCCACTTAAAGAACAATTGGCATCTGCTGTATATCTTCAAATCAGCACCATTAGTCAGGCCTTGATATTCGTGACTCGCTCCAGGAGCTGGTCATTCGTGGAACGTCCAGGCCTTCTGCTTGTTACTGCCTTCATTATTGCTCAACTGGTAAGGGATATGTCATTTCATAGTTTTGTAATTTGATACAAGTAATGAAGTGAAGTTGCAACCTGTCAATATGGAACGATGATTAGGATCCCAATAGGCATGTTTAATACTAAGAACTAGCAAAAATCTCCATCAACTGTTCGCACATGAAACCATCTCCCTTACCAAGGCCCACAAAAGCATTTCTTGCGTTAGGTCATAAATTTTAGGCGAAGTACAAAAACTTCTTCGTCAAGGTGCATCTGTAAGTGAAATGATGCCACCGTGGCTTGGTGGTAAACGTAATGTTGTTAACCTTAAGTCTGACAAAGAGGTCCTTGATCATTAGTTCAAATATTACAGTATGTTCTCAATTTCTGTAAAGCTTCAATTTCACGAGTAAGAATCCTAGGATGGGGAATTTCATCAGACCCCTCAATAAGGAGGCATTGAAAAACTATAAACGTCCTCTAAACTTCTTAACTTCCATGCTTTTGTTCGGAAAGAGAAGCAGGATTCTAAATGAGTAGCCTCTGCTGCTCTGCATTACAGCATATCCACAAGCATTTACTTAACACCTAGTATTTTCCACAAAGGAGCCGTTAGTCTCGTTACATGTACTTATGAATGCTTTAATCTTTGCAGATCGCAACCGTAATCTCTGCCACCGCAACCTGGAAATTTGCTGGAATTAGAAGTATTGGTTGGGGCTGGACAGCTATCATTTGGGTGTACAATATATTGACTTACTTTCTGCTGGATCCTATCAAATTTTCTATCCAATACGCACTCAGTGGAAGAGCCTGGAATAATATTATAGACCAAAGGGTGAGTAAATTCTTAACTCTAATGCTTACATCCTTAATTATACCAACATTGAATGATATTAGCCAGTCACTTCCGACTTTGTTCACTATTGTCAACAATATTGTTATGGTTATCTCCGCAGATCTTTGCAAACTTCAAAATGCATTTAATGATTCGTTTTTCTTTCCAATTTTCGTAGACTGCTTTTACCAACAAAAAAGACTTTGGCAAGGAAGCTCGTTCGGCAGCCTGGGCAGCTGAGCAGCGAACACGACATGGCCTTCAGTCTACTGAGACAAAAATGTTTTCTGAAAGAAATACTTTCAGAGACATCAATCTCATGGCAGAAGAAGCGAAAAGGCGTGCAGAAATTGCTAGGTTAGTTGGTCTTCTACTGAAACACACCACCACGCGCATCTGCATCAAAAGATTTATGTTAGTGGCTAGCTTAAAAGATAGAGAACTTTGGATGGCCACAATAAGTGCAAAAGAATTTTATGGTGGTTGCATAGTCTATGCTTTCTTGGTCTTGACCCTTAGATTCCTTGTTTCGATTGTGCAGGATGAGAGAGCTTCATACACTGAAAGGCAAGGTTGAGTCATTTGCCAAACTAAGGGGCTTGGATATTGATGCCATGAACCAGCATTACACCGTCTAAATATATGTTGAAAAGAGATCATATCGCTCTGTATTCTTTTTTCTTTTTCCTTTATTCACTCATATTTGTTATGGACATTGTGACTATCGTATGATAAAATATGGATTTTGTATGTTTAGCATGATTTGCTACTTCATGAAATTAATGTGATTAACTGCGTTTATTTTATCATGCCAAATACCATGCACTTTATATCTTATATTTTAATATCTATTTTAAAAAATACCCTGCATTATAAATTATAATTCTGTTTTCAGCATCAAATTTCCCAATAAAAAAAGTCCAAATTATTACAAATTTACCATAACCTTTTGATAATGACCAGAATGTCCTTAGAAAGCCTTTTTCCTTAAAAAAATGAAAATAGCTACTAAGAAAGGAAATATCGCCGTTTGAGAAGACCTATAAAATTGTGTAACATTTCATAACAACTCAAATCCAATTCAACATAAAAAATAAATACAAAACACCTAAAATCCAACAGATCAAAAGAAGGTTCAGGATTATCCATTTGTTTTGTTTCTGTCTTTTTAGCTTCTGTCAAAATTTTATTCATCAACAATATTTGTCCATCTATGTACATGTTCTTCATCGCGAATGCAGAGTGAAGTCCATGACAATAATCAATCCAAGAGAAAGTACAGCTAATATAGAAAATTATGCAAGTCCATTCTAGTGGGACTGTATGAGAAACAATAAAGAACATACAAACTCAGTTTAACGACCTTAAACTAGTAATTATTATCATTTAACACCATAGAAAAACAAACTGAGAAGCAGTGGACTAGCACAATTGAAACTAAGCTACCAAACAAATAACTGAATCGCATAAAAAATTTTTTTTTCAAGAGACAATTATAGAATCAGTACTTTGCAATTCCCAAAAAAAAAAAAAAAAAAACAAAGGCTGATTTTAACTTGATATATTGAAGCATATGTAAACCATGAGAGGAATTTCCAATTTGCAAGCGTGAACATAATCTTTAAAGTAGAAAACTATGCATGAACAAATTTAATAACGCAAGAAGAGAAAAATATCTGAAAAGCATAATAAATTGCTAACATTTGTGCAACTGCTCAAACCCTTATAGAGATAATAAAAAAATATATATTTCCATTTATAGTCTTGGGGTGAAAGACCGTTTTCGTAGACAACATCACCTGTTAATACCAAAGACCAAGGGTGCTGGGGTTTCTAAAATATTTAAAGCCAACATAGAGCGAGTCCAGTGAAAAGAAAAGGCCAAACCCATATTGAAAAAAAGTTAAAAATTACATACATTCAAAATTTAACATAGCTTCAACACAAATTACATAGTCAATAGTGATCAAGGATGCCAAAAGGTATTAATTGTAGTGGAGAAGCACATGCTATGCTGCAATATCACTAACAAATCCTAAACCAAGCATCTGAAAATTTAACACCATTTTGAAGGTAAAAATCAAAATTTAATAATTAGAGATTTTTAAGAGTTTCAAATTAACAGATTAAAAACATTAAAAACACAAGCACTTCTAGGGGTTTTGCTCAAACAACCAATTAAAGCATAAATAATCAATTTTGAACCAAAATGTAAACATTAAACAATCTAGGTTTTTTTAGAATTTCAAAACACTGCTTATAAATCCTTAAAAAAAATAATCTTTATGGGTTTTGCTCATAATTCTAAACATATAAACTTAATCAAAACATTTTATGATTTAAATACCTTTTTTGTTTAAAAAATTTAAGAATTAGAGTATGGGTTTCACATACCTTCTTCGATTCGTTCAATTCGTATTCGATTCTTGTTCAAACGAGTCAGATGAAATTTCGATCAACCACTCAAGAAATAAAACAAGGTTTTTTAAACAAATTTACTAGATTGATTGTGTGATCTTTTGTTTTTCTCTCTTCAAACGAGAGAGATGAAAAAGAGAAAAGAGAAAGAAGCTGGGTGAGCAAGGGAAAAAATTGTTCAGCTGGTAATTGGGTTTAATTATGTATATGAGATATTTTAGACATTTTATCCTTCACCTCTCCGAAAATAATCTGCCAAATATACATGATGTAAAGTATGATTTTTTAAAAATAAGGTGTTGAGTGCTTCTACCATCAAAGTACAAGATGTTTTTAGTAATTTATCCAATAATATATCTTCTTAAAATACCTTAATTAATAATAAAAAAATCAATTCTTTCTTCTATTTCATTTTCTTCACTAACAAAAAAATCAACATTCTTTGTATTTTTTCTTGTGCATGCAAATAATTTTAATATAAAAATCTAAAAGGAAAACTTTTTATTGCACGAAAAATATTCTTTCTTGTAAAAATTTTAAGACATGCCAAAATTTTATAAGTAAAAATATTTCCATTAGTATGTTATTTTCTAAAATTATTTTAAACTTAATCCTTAATTAACTTAATGATTTTTTCTTTAATTTACTATCTTAACTTTGGATATATTTTTTCTCTTAAATTAATATTGATTCCATCTTATATGAAATTAAATTTAATAAATAATAATAATTTTAGCAAAAATATTTTAGAAAAATATTAACAAAAAATATTGATATGGTATAATAATTAATAATTTTTTTAATTGTGTAAAAAATAAAAAGAAATGATTTCTTAAGACAGACGAAAATTTTCCAATTCATTAAGCAATCCACCCACACAATGAGCTCTATAATCTTTTTTTTTTTTGTTTTAAGGAACATGGGCAGTATCCTTGATAATTTATTGATCAAAATAAACGAAAACAATAAGAAGGACAAACCAACCTAGCTTACATTTGAGAGGATAAGAAAGCCTAAACCCCTAATGATGTAGATTAAGTTTTTTAACAGAGCAATAACTACCTATCATCTAATGAAAAAAACCATAATCATATCTAGCTATTGATCCAACAGACTCTACATAAAGTAGAAAAATAAAACACACAAACAAAAAAAAAATTATTTCCTATAATTAGCTAGTCTGTAGCTGTCTTCATGAAGAGCCGCTCGAGCTACAACTGGTAAATCTATAGCTGAGAAATAAATTACCTGTCCTCTACGTATATATGCTTCATTAGCTGATCGATCTACAACCCTCTTCAAATGAACCCAGCTAACTTTACATGTAGACCACCTTTTATCTCTACACGCACAAGTATTTAAATTGTTTAATTGAGGATTCAAATCCATGACATTTATCTCAATTATACACTTCAAAATTGTTTTTTTTTTAATTCGAATTATTAGTGTGTTGTTATCTTAGAATTTTTAAGAAAAATATTCTTTTTTTATTATTATTATTTTTAGCTTAGGATGGATTCGTAAAAGTTGGACAATACCTCACTCTTTCTGTTTTAATTCGAATAGTTAATGTGTCGTTACTTTGGCTTTTCAAGAAAACTATTATTTTTTTATTATTTTTTTTATTTTTAAATTAGGATGGATCGGTAAACGTTGTACGATACCTGACTCTCTTTGTTTTGCGAAATTTCATTGATAGGAAAATCACTCCGTCTTCATTGCAACTTGGGCTCGTTGGTCCACTTTCATAACCTGGCCGAAGCAAAGTAGCCCTCAATAGAATATGGGCTTTCTTCAAATGTAGACATTATTATGGACTGGGCCTGAGTCTACAAGGGACAATAAGTACAATAAGTCCAGTTGGTCTTAAATCATGACTTCAAAATCAAAATGAAATCATTCACCATCAATTTTTCAGTTTTCAAAAGCAATGAAGCAGAAACAAGAATTTGCATGGTAATGGAGAGAAGAATTAAAGACCATATTTTCTTTTGGCGCTAAACCTAAATTGGTGATATCCATGCAATGCTAGAGCAGCAGCAGCAGCAACAAGGTATTCTTTGGAGTCCAATAGAAAGAAAGTGCATGTTTCTTCTTCATAGGTGCAGGACAAGAAAAACCCTCGTGCAAATCCACGCTCTCATTCTTCGAAACACCATCGATACCAACGTTAGCATTTTTACCAAATTCATCTCCACTTGTGAGCAGCTCTTTAGTATCCGTCATGCTCGCCACATGTTTGATAATAGACCTCACAGAGAAGACACCTTCCTTTGCAATTCTATGATCAAAGCTCATGTGGGTATGCGCCAGTTCTTTGATGCTTTCACTCTTTATAAAGATCTCAGACGAGAAACATGTTTTGTACCTGATAATTTCACGTTTACTGCATTGGCGAAATCTTGTGCTTTGGGGATGGCTGTTTGGGAAGGTTTAGAGATGCATGGTCATGTTGTAAAAATTGGATTTTTCTTTGATATGCATGTGTCAACGGCATTGGTGGATATGTATGCAAAGTTTGGGAATTTGGGTTTCGCAAGGAAGGTGTTTAATGATATGACTGGGAGAAGTTTAGTGTCTTGGACTGCGCTTATTGGTGGGTATGTGAGGCGCGGGGATATGGACAATGCCTGGTTTCTTTTTAAGCTGATGCCTGGGAGAGATTCTGCGGCATATAATCTGATGCTTGATGGGTATGTTAAAGTGGGAGATATGGATTCTGCGAGACGTTTGTTTGATGAGATGCCGGAAAGGAATGTGATTTCTTGGACTAGTATGATTTATGGGTATTGTAACAATGGTGATGTTTTATCTGCTAGGGGTTTGTTTGATGCTATGCCGGAGAAAAACTTGGTCTCTTGGAATGCCATGATTGGCGGATATTGTCAAAACAAGCAACCCCATGGAGCCTTAATATTGTTTCGTGAGTTGCAGTCAAGCATGGTGTTTGAACCAGATGAAGTAACGGTTGTAAGCATTCTTCCAGCTATTTCTACTTTGGGTGCTCTGGAATTGGGTGAGTGGGTACATCGATTTGTTCGGAGGAAGAAACTTGATAGAGCAGTCAATGTCAGTACTTCACTTGTCGATATGTATGCAAAATGTGGAGAAATATCAAAAGCAAGAAGTGTTTTTAGTGAGATGCCTAAAAAGGAGACGGCTACTTGGAATGCTTTGATAAATGGATTTGCAGCGAATGGGCATGCTAAGGAAGCACTGGAAGCATTTTCAGAGATGCAACAGGAAGGAATTAAGCCAAATGACATAACCATGATTGGTGTTTTATCTGCTTGTAACCATGGTGGTCTGGTAGAGGAAGGGAAAAGATTGTTTAAAGCCATGGTCGAATTTGGGCTTACCCCAAAAATTGAGCATTATGGATGCCTAGTTGATTTATTGGGGAGGGCAGGGTGCTTGGAGGAAGCTGAGAATTTGATCAAAAGTATGCCTTTTGAAGCTAATGGAATAATTCTGAGTTCATTTTTATTTGCCTGTGGATTCTCTAAGGATGTTGCTAGAGCGCAGAGAATGCTAAATCAGGCTGTCAACATGGAGCCATATAACGATGGAAACTATGTCATGATGAGAAACTTATATGCCATGGAGGAAAGATGGAAAGATGTTAAGGAAATTAAAGGACTGATGAGGAGAAGTGGGGCAAAGAAGGACGTTGGTAGTAGTGCAATAGAAGTTAATAGTGCGGTTTCAGAGTTCATATCTGGGGGGATAGCTCACCCGCAATTGGATGTTATAGAGTCCGTCATAGGGCAATTGTGGATGCACATGACGGACAGTGTGGGTACTCAGACTCCATAACTTAAGTACCAGGAGTGACTTTCTTATTGGTGATTCTTTTCACGTACTGGGGATAAGAAACAGATGCGGTAAGGCCGTTTTTTGAGAGCAGGCCCAAAGAGGTCAGCATCCTCTGCATTAGAATTTGCAAAAAGGTGGGGACTCTATCTCCAAGTCATAAAAAGCAGACACTGTAAATCTAAAATTTTCTAAGGTATGGTTCCTTGCAACAAAATACATTTCTGTAGTAAATATGCACACATGCGCGTGCTTCAAGCATGATCATATAATCCAACTGGCACTTTAAGTGCTTGATTGTTTAAGGAAGGGGCTGATTGTTTTCATTATAGGGCCGTCATCAACTCCTCTTATGTCCATGTTTTGGTCATTGTAACATTTTGAACAAATTTATGGAAAGACAGTACGATTTTGAGACCACTTAACAGTACCTGCAACTGAGAGCAGATTATGTGCTTGGGGCCAACAATGACAGTAGCATGGTTCCACCAGTGGAATGTAGTTACAGAGCAGGTTAAGGGAATGTCAATACACTCCGCACCTGTGCTTTTGTGTACAAGTGCACTGTTGGGGGATGCATGGAAGCTGTGCAGAATTTGTAATTGGAAGAGGAGGATGTCTCTTGATATGGCATGACTGTTCAGAAGGACCGGTCGTGACTCGTGACTGGTTATGAAGACCAAGGATATGGTTTGTGTCAAACTGAGATTTCCTTCCCAGTTTATATCATGCGTTTACAGCGATATCACTTGTCATTTGTGTAACTATTTTGATTAAAGCTGGAACTCCTAGTACTCTTGTCAATATGCTCTAGCAGTTGAGGCATTGCAAACCAAGGATGGGACTAGCTAGTTTTGCCGAGTAAATTATAACTCAGTCCTGCAGTTTAACAAAAATAATTAATTAGTTATTAGGGTCTAATAAATTATATTTTTAATCCTTATGTTTTTAAATCTGTTCGTAACTAAGTCCTTTAATCTTTTCATATTCTTTTTTCAATTTATTTTGCTTCTTTTCTTTTTTGGGGAATTAAAAATCAAACTGGACATAAGTGGCAGTTTTGACGAGGAAAAAAAAATTTTAAATTGAGGATGATTAACCTTGGTTAAAGGACTATTTAATTATTTTAGATACTGCAGGGTAATTAATTAATTTCTATAAACTATAGGGTCTTAGTTATGATTAACTCAAGTTTTGCCTGTTTCGTGGACATCTTGCTTCTTCATATACTCCTCCTACTTGCCATGTGGCGTAGCATGCCAGAGTCAGCCAATTGAGAGAAGACAGAGTTCTGTTGCAAAACGACAGCATATAAGTTGCTTCCGGCACATGGCCAATGGAGGTGCCCATAATCTTCAAATTTTCTGACTTCTTCGGTTCTGACGAAAAAAATAATAGATAGACCAAAATTTAAGTTACCCTATTTAAATCAACAATTGAACGGTAGTTGAAGTATTAATGTTTCAATAACTTAAAATACTAAAAAAGAAATTGCAGTTCGGTGGTAATTATATATTGAAGGAAAAATTGTCATTTATTATGCTCATGTGATAAAGAAGCTAGTTTGGGACAATGAATTATTCTATGCAAAACTACGCATAACAAACCATTAACAGTGTTGATTTATAACTTAATTCTATAGTTTGACAAAACTAATTAACTGATCCCTGTAATTTTCAGAAACTATATATTTAATTTTTAGGTTTTGAAAATTCAACATAACTTAATCATTTTTTTTGCAAAATAGAGAAGAAAAAAGAAGGGAAAAAAAAAGCAAGTAAAATTAGAATGGTTAATACACGCTATTCAATAATTTTTATACTGTAAAAACTAATTAATTAGTTGTGATAAACTATGAGTTCTAAATTATAATTAACTCACACAAATAACTAAAACCTTCGTATATACTCTTCATGTGAAAAACGAGATAAATTTATGATCTAATGCATCAATTCTAAAATCTAGTAAGATTTTATTATTATTATTTATAAGGATAGACTCCCATCAGTTTTTGTACATAAAAAAAAAAAAAAAATATATATATATATATATATATATATATATATATATATATTTTTTTTTTTTTTTTTTTTTTTGAGATAAAGGCAAACTATCTACAGTTCTACACTAGAGGAAGAGAAGGATTATGTGAAATTTCATAATATTCAAGGAGAAATTAATATAAATTACTCTAAAAGTTACTTTATAAAAAATATATATATATAAATAAAAAAATATGAGAAATTTTTTTAAAAAAATTAAATCAATATGAAATTTTTATTATTATTTTTATGGGTTCAAATATATTTATTTTTATTGTAAAAAAAAATTATTGTACTACTTGATTATTCCAAAAATTTCTTGGGTATTATTATTATTTACACAAAATCTAGCTCTGACAAAAGAGTGTGATCGTATCTAACAAACAGTAATCAGATGGGAGGATCTAGCTAATGGTCAAGGGGCAGCACAGCAATCATAAAAAGTCAAAACAATACAAGAAGGAGAAACACTGTTTTCTGGTTTTGTACCAGGTCAGTTCTTTGGACAGAAAGAAAGGTAGCTGGCCTGTCCCCCTCTCCGCCTAGCCATCCTAAGCCATATCCATGAGTCTCTTTTGCTCGTCGAACATGCTCTTTTTGTATTATTTATAAGTGGTTGTGCTTTGTCTCTTTACTTTATCTCCCAAAATCCCAGGAATCCAGACCCCCTGTCTTGCAACCTCAAGTTTCTTTTCTTTTCTTTTTTTCATATATAACAGCACTCATGGGTTTTTTCCCATTGATTAAGTCGACAACATTTATGATCATTACGCTAATCTTTACCTTCAGTTTTGTCCCTGTCACGCACTCTGTTCCCTTCGTAGTCTTTCATGGTTAGATTTTGTTGGCTGTTTGTTGTTTTCTTTGAATGCTGTAGTTTTTCTTGTTTCTTCATGTTTTCTATTTATGAGAATCAGTTATCTATTTCTATTTTTGGTGGTTAATATCTGATAAAGGGTATGTTAATCTTGTTGTTACCATTTACTCTCTCTTTTTTCTCCTTTTTTGGCTTAGCTTTTCGTCACCAATTACTTTCTTGGAGACACTTGTTTGGAAAGAAATTTATTGCCACGGTTCTTTTTAATTTTCGCTCATATCATTCCCTGTTTCTAATTTAGGTCGTCATAAAAGAAGATCGAAAGTGATATAATTATCTTGGAATTTTTTTTTCCGTTCTTTTAGAATTCAGGAAACTGGGAATTCCTTACTTGACTGAGTATTTACTGCGTTCTTGGTCCTCTGATTCTTTGTTGTTATATTTGGCTTATTAGTGTCTGTGTATTAGGAAACTGAGTCATAAGTACTGAAAGGCTCATAATTCTATTGCATTCTTTATTTAATTCCTTGCAGGTGAGAGAAAACTTGGTGTTTATTCATTGAATTAGATATCGGAACTTGTCGTTGAATCATATCGAACATGACATGATTTCATAATCTAGTCTAGTTTGATTTGGTTCATACAAAATTTTGATTTGGTTTGACTGTTAGATGTAAGATATGAGCAATGCTCTATTGAACAAGTTACTGAGGAACATATTTCAATATATTGTGCTCTTTCAGGAAATGCCAACTCCACTTTTCCGGATTTCTAATCAAAACTGAGTCAACTAAATGTTCAGCTTCTCTACAGAAATAGCATTTTTTTCTTTTTGGTAATTCTGTAGAAGGAAGTCTAGTTTCCTTTTTTTTTCTTTTTTCGGATGAAAAGGAAGTAGAGTTGTTGCTATGTGCATCAAACTTTACTGTAAAATGATGGTACTTTTTGTATGTGTTTTGTGTTAGGTGTTAGTGAAAACTGCAGTAATAAGGGAATCAAACAGTTCGTTGACCTTCTAAGCAAGTGGTCCGGCATTCAAGGACATTGCATGTATGATTTAATTTGTGGATTCTTTTGCAAGTCATAACAGCAACGGTCATTTTTCTATTTGGTGATCTACCTCCACTCAAAATTATTTTATGTCTGATCGACAGACTGTATGTAATCATTTGATGTCCCTTCGTCCCTTCAGAGAAATTGGAGATGGAGCATGGGATTCTTGGACTATGCCCCTTCAGGAACAGGTGATGCCTGAACTGATGGCTTGAAGAGTATTTACTGTTGACAGTGTCCATATCCCAAAAACTACATTTATTTTATTTCACTTTTGGTTGCAGACAGCAATTGCTTGTGAGAAGGTGGTATAGCTACTGGGAATCATGCTTTTTTGTCACTGGTTTTGTACTTAAAGTTCAGTTGTTCAAAACTAGATTGTCAACTAAATTTGCAGGTGAAGAGTGTGAGTGAACTAAGCGATGGTTACAACTTAATTGGACTTTCTCAGGTAATTAAGAATTTGAAGAATTTTTCTCTGTTTGCAATTCTATGATTGAACATTTGTTAATGTTATTCTTTTGTCCATTAAGAGCATACTTAGAGACTGATCCAAGTTTTTCTATTTATTTGTGTTTGTTTTGATGAATGCATGAACTGATTGAGTTATTGCACTGGTCACAGGTCTTCACTATTTTATAAGTTGATCTCATTTTTGTACACTTTGCATTCTGATGAGTTGCTTTATCCCACATAGATACATTTTTTAATGTGTCCTTGGTTTCCCAGCAGTAATATTCAATATAAGATTGACTTCTTGAGGGATAGAGTTTTGGAGATCTGCATTTGTTAAATTTTGGAGTTTTTTCTTTTCTGATGTCAGTCTTGCCTTGGATGGTCATCTGAATTAGCTTCTAGCTTCCTTGTTCAATTCTTCAATCTGTATTGATGGTTTTGGTTGTGAATTAATGCTCTGCATAATCCTTTATTTCACAGGGTTCCATGGTTGCTCGAGGGGTTATTGAATTTTGTGATGGGGCACCTCCTGTAAGAAACTGATGAAATATTACTATATCCTTTTTCATCTAATCACTTCTTATCTTTCCACAATGCCCTTGTATACCCTGATTAGTGTTTTCTTTCCTTGGCTTAATATCCTTTGCCCATGTGTGTGACAGGTGAAGAATTTGATTACACTGGCAGGTACCCATGCTGGTATTGCTTCAATTCCTTTCTGTGGAGTAAGTGTAGTTGCCTCAAGTATATTCACTTCATTACTTCCTTCAATTCCTTCTGTTTTTTTCTCTTTTTTTTTCCCAAAAAAAAAAAAAAAAAGACGGTGTATTTTGTTTAAATTGAAACCCAGAGTGGTACGTAGAGATATTCCTGCAGATTTTTGTTATCAGGGCTACTATTGCGGTCAGGTTTGATATGCTCTGAGTCTCTTGACTTTTGCAGTCCACCATTGTATGTGTTCTTTTGGATGATTTAATCAAGTCAGAGATCTACAGCAGCTGTGTTCAGGTATAAAATATTCCTTTTAGTTTTTTATTTGAGATAGGAATTCAAAATCATCGCCATTGGCTCAAAACAAACAATTTATGCTATGCAAACGGTTTTCTTGGCAAAATCACTTCCTAGGAACTAATTGTCATCTGATAATTTGGGGCAGATAATTTCATTGTTCCCCATTCAGCTATTCTCTCTTTTGGCATTCAATGCACGGCTGACTTCTTATCTCTGATGAAATTGCAGGAACACTTGGCTCCCAGTGGTTATTTCAAAATCCCAACGGTGAGTCTAGGTTCTGCTGCTATGCTGATATAGGCATGTTCTCGGCCCCTCCTCTTTGGTGGGAGTGTAAAAAATAAATTAATGAATAAATTTTTGGAAAATTTGAAGCATTATGAAAAGAAAAGAATGGTTATATTGGATTAAGGAGTAGCTAATTTAAAAAAAAAAAATTGTTTTGGGCATGATCAAGTTTTTTCTTGCCCAAGATACAAACGCAAGTCGTTCATTCCCTCTTATTTGCCTCAAATGAATGGTCACAGCGAGAAAAATTTGTTTCTTACAGGACATTCCTGCCTATTTAAAAGGATGTAGATTCCTCACCAAGCTTAACAATGAGATCAATCAAACAAGAAATTCTACATACAAGGAACGGTTCGCTAGCTTAGAGAACTTAGTTTTAATCATGGTGAGTTGACGTCTGTTGTGTTTCTTCAACATCCTTCAATTTACGCTAATCATTCTAACTTGGTGGTGCTTATCAGTTTGAACAAGACACAGTTTTGGTACCGAAGGAAACCTCCTGGTTTGGATATTATCCAGATGGATCCTTCGATACTGTTTTGCCGGCACAAGAGGTAATATTTGCCGTCATCTTCAACCTTCCAAGCTTTGCTGCGTATCTGAAGTTAATTTTTCTTTTCTTTCAATTTCAACCATTTATAGCTTTTAATTCTTTAACTGTTCTATACGTCACAGACTCGGCTCTACATTGAAGACTGGATCGGTTTGAAAACATTGGATGAAGCTGGAAAAGTTATATTCATTAATGTGTCTGGGGGGCATCTTGATATCTCTGAAACTGATATGAAGAAATACGTATTGCCTTATTTGGAGGAACAAGCACCATCCACGACACTGCAGATGACAAAAGGAGCTTCCTCTTATAGATGGCTTTCAACAATCAAGAACTTCGTCATGGAGTTAGTTGGACGCACAGAGGATCAACATTTGCTGCATATTCTGCGCTAGATTCAGAACTCTTATTACCACGATAATGAGTCCAAGAAAAAGGAGAAATTAAACATTCGTAGAACTATAAATTCATTCTTCATTATTTTTCTTGCTCATTTTTCTTTTCTTGGAAAACTGAAAAAACTATAATTTGAGTGTCTAATTTTTTTTTTTTAATTTCTGTTTAACTGTTTTTATCTATTTCAATGTTTAAGTTTTGATTTTTTTTTTCAGTAATATTACGTGAGACTGGAAAATAGAATGAATTTTCACGTCACTTAAAAAATTATACCCGTTAAAAATTGAGTTTCACTTGAATTACTTAGAAAAAGAAAGAGCAATTTGAGTGTTTGATTTTTTATTATTTTTCTGTTTGAGTTTTTAAAATTTTTTTCCTATTTGATTTTTTCTCAATCATCTAAGATTGAAAAATACTGACGTAGTTGAGATTTACTAATACATGGTAGTTTTTAACTAATAAGTAGCAAAAAATAAGTCTCATTCAAATTTATTGAGGAAAAAAATATACAAAATATTTATATAAAAAAATTAATTGGCAAGAATTAAAAAAAGAATCAAAATCAATTATTGTTAGCTAAATAAACTCAAATTTCTTATATAATTCAAAGTTAAAACTCTTGGATTAAACAAAAGAAATGTTGAGATGATAATATCTTCAAAGGGTTTTAAGACACGGATCATCATACTTATTGAGTTTATTTGACTAATAATAATTAATTTTTTTTGTTTTGTTTTAAATTCTTACCAAATATTTTTATAAAATTTTTATAATTGTTTTTATCTTTTTCTTAATAAATCCAAATAAAATCTATTTTTTGTCATGTATCGATTAACAATCATTGCATGCCAATAGACTTCAACAACGTTAGTATTTTCTAATCTCAAGTGACGGAAGAAACTCAAATTAAAAATAGAATGATAAAAGTTTAGAGATTTAAATAAATAAAATTAAAAACTAGAGGCTCAAATAAAATAAAAATAAAAATAAAATGCTCAAATTTTAGTTTTCTCTGTATCATTCTATTATTGAAGTTTTCCTTTTCTACGCTTTGCACGTTATTATTTGCAGAATTTGTGTAATGAACTTTCACGCGGATATTAAAATATTGCAGTTGAAGTAGTTTAAATTCTTTTGGCTTTGCAATAACAAGTTGGCTAAAATAGCTTGGATTAATTTTTATTTACGTCTGCAAGCGTATTTTTCCTGAGACCAAGACTGACTTTACAGAACATTTTATTTCGAATATCTCTTATTTCCTTCAAGTAGAGGGAATTAAATATAATATCTCGGTTGACTAATATGAGTTGATAATACAAATTGAAGGAAACAAAATGTTCTACTTGGGCTTCTCATTCAAATAACTCTTCATTTGATAATAGAAACTAATATTTTTATTTTTATTTTTATTGCTCATATTTCTTATTCACGGTTCATTAAAATCAACAATCCAGTGATGACAGATATAGCAGTTTCCTCTGAAAAGTCCCAGTCCCAGACCTGAAATTCAGACTCCCAGATCTATTGTGTAAACCAAAAATTATTTTCCACAACACCAGGAAGAAAAGGAGTGATCAGAGCCTCGCCAAGTCTCAAAACAGTTCAAATATCATTATATGGAAAATGTCACAATGAATACATATTATTTAAAAAAAAAAGTAAAAAATGTTTATGTACTTGTTCCCAGATCAAACCCCAACCAAAGTACTTGCAATATAACTACAAGAAATTGTTACATAAGCGGACAAAAATACTCAAACTCAACTAAACCACCTCTAAATACCTACAAAATGGAGGAAAAGAGGGAGAAAGAATTATATTAGGCAGACTTGCTTCAGGAAGTTGTTTGGCTCCTTTATATTGAGATTACAAAGCAGAATACATTCTATTCCACTGGATAAGAAGGGAAGCTTGGAACTCGATGTCTATTAGCTTTCCATCAGCTAGGCTAAGATTGTTTTCATATCGAAGATTCTATATGGTGGTACTCCAGATTGCGCAGCACAATTCTTGCAAAGATTTTGGCTTCAAGTGGTGCAGTTGCTGCAGCAGCTGCAGCTCGCAGAACCCGGGCAGCTCCAGCACTCTGCATGAGACTCGCATGGTGCAAAGCATGTCGTCCCCCAGGAATGGTAAACTGTAATTTAAGGATTAAATTCAAGCAGGCATGAAGTAAACTCGCTCAATCAAACATTCAGTAGAAAAATAGAAACGATAATGAACTCAACAACCTTGGAACTGGCATTTTTTAAGAGTCTCAACAAGCTAGATTACCTGGAGAAGAGCAAATGCAGCACAAGCCTTTAGTATAGAAGAAGGATTCCGTAGCATGGCAACAAATCTTCCAATCTCAGCTCCACTGAGGCCACAAAAAGTAGAAAGGGAGGAGAAAAAAGTTTAATCAGGTTTATCATAACAAAATGGTGGAAAACCACATTCATAAATAGGAGTAAGTCAGCGCTATAAGATTGAAATCATTCATGAGATTGGTAGCCTAGTCAATTGACACTATCTGCGCAGCCCAGTCCATTAAGAGAAGAAGACTGTCAAAAAGAGTGTGGATTGATGTATAATGGCTAAAGATATGGCCTTAGTGCTGAAGAGACAAGACCTCCAGGAAATTGGATGCAAGTTTGAGTATAGAATTTTACATGTCATACAAAATCAGCATTATCTAGATGTATTCAATAACAATCATAACTGATTTACATTAACAAGTAAGCTTAATCATAAGGCAGCTAACTGCAAATTCAAAAATCAGGGTACACAGTTCTTAATTCATGCAACTGTAAGCTGTAAATTAAGACAGCGGATTGTCTTGAACAGTGACAAATAGGAATGTAAGCCGGACATGCAAGCATACATGTGTGTGCATAAAAGAGAGAGAGGTACCTGCATCGCAGATGTCCTGCTTCTTGAATACGAGCTCTCTCCGTTACTTGTGCTAATGCTGCTGGAGCTGATGATGCAGCAGCAGTGGAAAATGCTTGTGGATCAGAAAATGTAAGGACGAAAGCTTCAATGTGCTTCAAAGCCATCCTTCTAGCTCCATCTAAATTCACATTCTTTGAAGTGCTTTCTGTTGAAGTTCCTACTAGTGTAAATTCATCCATTCTGCATAAGAAAAGAAAAAAAATCAAAATAGAATTCTAACTGAAAGGCAGGAATATCAAGTAAGCATGATTTCATGTCGTGCATGCACCAAAAGGGAGATTGGATAAGTACCTCCCATCAAACATATAGGCCAATGCTAGTGCAGCCATGAAGCGAGCCATCTTTGATACTGATGAAGAACAAAGATCAACAAGTGCAGGAACTCCCCTTCCTCCACTATACGAAGAGCATTTCCAGGATTAAAAGCAAGATTCCAGAGAGCTCCTGCAGCAGTTTCATGAACGTCCTGGAAGAGAAAAATACATTAAAGTTGAATCTGGTTTTATTGACAACAGGAAACACAAGGAAATTTTGCAAGTTTCAATCAGTTGCAAACTAGTTGAGAATCTGATTTATATACCAACATATGTTGAAGTTGGATAAAAAATTGATAATGATTTTCAAAAAGTCAGAAATGCTTCATAACGATTAGAAAATTCATGGACTGACTTTAAGCGAATGAAAGACTGACCTCGGCCTCAGAGCGTGCCAGAGCAATCAGAGGCGCAACACCTCCTTCTCGTCCAATAGCAATGCTAATATAGACCAACAAATATAGATTTAGCATTAATACAACACCTAAGATTAAAAATAGAAAACCTTCTTTGCACAGAGAATATATAGGCTTATTTGCTTACAGAAAAACAAATTCAAGACAAAAGGAGAACATAAAAAATGATGATGAACAGACATTTGTAAAGTCAAAGTGCATATAGTACAAAAATATTTCAATGCAGCTATGCAAGTACATGTGCATCCTTTTGGGGATGCAGAGATGCCATGCTTATCTATCTATTTAATGACTAAATAGTGTTAGTCTGGAGGGATAATTTTCAACAATCATACTTGGTTACTTGTGCCTAACATCCTATCCTCAAAAATAATCATCAGGCATCATGTGGGCAATTACAAATGCATTTTCTCAAACAATATGCAGCATACCACCAGCTGGCTGCAGTTAATATCCCCGTACCTTCCACAAAATTCAACAAGAGCGAGGTAACTACACTATGGGTGGGCTTCAGTTGATGGGTACACAAACAAAAACATATACATATTTCCTTGGTACGTGAGGTCACCTGGCAATCTATAACACACAAAATAAAATGAGAACCAAAAAATGATCCAACATGTTTACCTGTTGGCTTCTGACACTGACAATCCCCAGAGAGCTCCAGCAGCCCTCTCTTGAAGACCTGGAGAGGCATTTGCACAAGATTGTGCAAGGTCGACCTGAATACACCACATAAAATGAAAACTTCAATATATATATATATAGATAGATATATGTATGTATGCATGTATGGTGGAACTTCCTACCACATAGAATACACCATTCGCCATCAAATGAAATCAAGAAAAATCATAAAACCAAGAAACAAAAGTAAAGTTGCTGCTGCTTAAGTCATTGGCCATTAGCGCACAGACCAACAAACACTCAAATAGTTGGGAGGAATTTCCACCTCTGAAAGCAAAACTTTAACAGTGAATAAATGTTTCTTCTCGAACTAAGCATGAGTCAACATAATGGATGCCATGTATAAAAGTTAACACATATTAAATGCAAACAATAAGCATCAAAAACATAAAACACATCTGGTTCGATCAGCTAAATCATTCATGTCTACTGACTGTCATGCATATTGGTTTAATTAAACTAAAACAATTACCAAATCAATTCGAACCATAGACTGAGAGAACAGTCAAAGGTGGTAATGGGATAATAAGGTGGTGTTTTTTTTTTATTATTATTAAGTATAACAAGAAGTATGAAATGAAGTTCCTACCCAAGAAGAAATCAATAAAGTGATCGTGTGCAACTCTCAGAGATCCTGGGAGAGAGAAAATGGTAAAAGACTGAAAGAGGAACCCTAAATACAAGATGCTGAATTACTATGTTTTAGCAGCCAGCACATTTGTTATAGTTTTTGACTCTCACTGGAGGTGAATATCTTTGCAAACTAAATGTAGCTTTCACTTTCCAAACCCTTAATCTCAAAATGAGGAACGATATATTGCCTCACAAAAGCAAATCTTCTATCATGGAAAGCTCCAATAATGAATATTCAGTTAATGTACAAGCAAGTGATGGAGAAAAAACAAAATAAAGAGAAAATAAAGAGAGCCGATCTCTAAAAAGTCAATTTATTTGATCGATCAACTAGCTAGGACTTTATATAGGCAGCAACGATGTTCCAAATGGGGAAACTTAATTCTATTAAGAACAGAAAAAAAAAACAAAATCATGGAAAACTCTAACAAATGTGAAATCAAATAAACTCATAATCCAAATAGGAAATCAAATCCAATAAGGACAGAAGAAACAAAACCATGGAAAACCCTAATAAATACAAAATAGACTATATTCCTAATAAAAATCACCGTATACTAAATAGGACAGTAGAATTTCTAAATACTAAAATCTTAAATAATCAAATACTAATCCTAGAAATATTGCTTCGTTTTCCATCATTCTCCCCTAATAGGTAAAAAACTAAATCTCAAGCATTTAAGCATCCAGTAGCAAGAACTCAAACAAGATACCAACAGTGGCAGTAAGAAGACCGGTGATTAAACACAGTGCCAGTGCGGTTCAGATTAGAATGGCAGGATTCCGAAGAGGCTGCAATGTTATTTCAACGATGGTCTTTGGCTAGATGCAGAAGCAGGTTCCAAATGCAGAGATCTCCTGGCAACATTCCTTCTATTGCCATCTATTGGCATTGAGATTGGATTTGTTTTGAGATAACAAAACCATATTGTAAGTATCCAATCCTGCAATTTATCACTACTTCATGGTAACCTATTAATTACAACATGTGCCAGCAGTGTCTCATGATAAATTGCTAGTTAGAGGAACCAATCTAATGCAAATTCAAGATATGCACCAGCAATATCTTGTGAGATCATATCTTGAGTTTTCTAAATGACATGATATTGTCCCCACAGTAAGGCCGGCAAATTTTCTAAAACTTCTTTAGAATTTATTTATTTTTTTATTTTATTTTTACCAGCACAAATGCAATAAACAACTAAATGATCTCGACCAACAATTGGAAAGTTACTAAAAAGGAAGAGATTTGACGGTGAAATCACAAATGCAAATGGCGACAAATACAAGGAAGACAATTTGTAATCTCGAAACCCACTCTGATATCAACTTGATGTAAAACCAAATGATGAAGAAAAGCAACATAAAAGAACCAATCTCAAGATCAATTTATTTGATAAACCAACAATAATAGTCTGTCTCAAATGTCTATGTAGGGTACTTTATATATGCATCAAAGCTATTTGCAGCATATGAAAACTTGAACCCTATGAATAGGACAGTAAAGCACAGGAGAGCACTGGAAACAGGAAAGAGAATCAACTCTTTATGAAAAGCTATGTACACACTAGCCCTATAACTATAAGTCTTGCTTCGTTCTCCGTCACTTCCATATTTATAATGTGTCGACTTCAACAAAGAATAAGCCATAGGTCATGCACCAGTCATTAATGTTGTATCTTTAAATTGATATTTCTATTGATGAGGAATCCATCATCTATCTAGTCTTTAAAATGCTAACTAAGAGAAATCTTGTTCTCTCAAACAAGCACATTATACGAAGTACTTTCAATGAAGAACTTCCTATTGAGTGTCAATGCTACCATGGGTCTCACAGACTAATTATGCTTGAAGGTAGCAAGTAAATATATTACCAAGGCCTCAACACCACCAGCTGCTGCAATTGCTTCTCGGTTCCTGTCATCAAATGATAAGTTCCACAACGCACCAGCAGCTTCCTGCCTGTTTAGCAAGCAATTAAAATACTACTTTTCAGATTAGATGTTGAATCTAATATGCATGAGCATATGAACAGTTTTGGTTGTAGATTTCTAAACTACAATTGGCCCAAAGAATACAGCTTTTTTTTACCAGACACTAGGAGAAGCATTAGAAACAATGATTCCAAACACTAAAGTACAATAAATTTAAGGTAATTAGGTTGCAAGAACAGAATGTTACAGAGTTGAACTACCTACAATTTTCAAATATTTTGAGCAAACAAAAATCTTTTTTGCTAAAACATAACTCAAACAACTTTAGTTTCAAACACAAACAATCACACCCAAAGATCAGAAAAACATAATACATGAGATTCTATGCTGGTTTATAAAAGGAGGGAAACAATTACAATTCAGGTACTTTTTTCCTTTCTCTCCCAATAAGGGAAATGAACTAAAAGGTGAGCAATATCATACAAAAAGAAAACGGGGATCACTAGGTTACGTTAGCAAGCAATACAATAAAATAAGAAAGAACAGCATCAAAAAATTTTAAGTTGCCACCAAGAAGATTTTTCATTGACTCCTTAGTCCTTAGATGATTGACTGAAAAAAAAAATTCGCAGTAATTGAAGTCCAACACAATCTCCATAAAGAAAAAGATAGCTGAGAGTTTGCAATAAGGAAGCAACTAAAATCATCTCTGGACCTTTCTTAATTGTCTTTTGTTCTTGTCAGAGGCAAATATAAAGATAAAGGGAAATTGTTGCCTTCTGGGGCTTAAGAAATTTGGATTAGAATGGGACAAGATTAATATCATAGATTGTATGCAGATAAAAAAAAAAATTCAATAGCAGGAAAAAAGCAACTATGAATAATTAGATAATAAAACGTATTGGACAGATACAGCTAAGATAAAGGATACAGATTACAGATTTGCAATGGAATTACCTGACACCTTCATGTAGAGAACGTGTGAGTTGAACAAGGGCTTCAAGAGCGCCTGCTTCTTGTCCCACAGCAGCATTGTTAGTATTGCTATCTCCATGAGCAGCCAAGTTAGCTAAAGCACGAGCAGCCTAGCATTGCAAATATACATTAATAATTTACAACAGGTCAATGTCACACAGAAAAAATCTTTCAAAGAAATAATTAGCGGAAATAAATAGGAACCCTAAAATTACAAATTTCAAATTAGGAACCTCCTTATTTTAGTCATTACAGTCGTAGCACTGCATAGCATAAACGAATAGTTGAAGGCATTTTGGTATGGAGTACATGTGAACCTTAGTTTCAAATAGGTTTTCAAACACCATGATTAATGGAGGGCATGTTTTTAGTAATGGAGGATACACAAGTCACCACAACCTGAACCGTGATGAGGCTATTTTCAAAGCCAAAAACCACCATGATCATGACCATTTGATGGCTCTTTGCCACGTTCTTTTCTGAAAAGTTCAACAATTTTGATAATTATATGTAGCAGAGATTATAACTCTGTTGAGTTGTCATGTTGAATAAAACAACAGGACAAGGAGAAAATTAAAAAGTGTATATTAAGAGCAAATAAATTCTAATTCAAACATGTAGCCTGCAAGCTACAGTAAATTGATCGATGTCTTTTCAGAGATCTTAGTATGCAACTTCTTTTCACATAATATATCTACTAATAATAGAAAATAGCACACCTGCTCTTGTACTCCCTCAAACTTGCAATTACGAGCAAGCATCACCAAAGCATGTACACCACCTGCCAGTGCAACCTCCATGCTACACTTGTCATCGGCTGCCAAATTTGCCAAAGCACCAGCTGCACGTTCCTGAACACAGAAAATTGGAAACAAACTCAAAAATTTGTCATACTATATTTACTTGAATCTAACTCAAGATAAGTAATGCAGGTGCAGGGAAGCAGTTGATATGTTAAGAACATGGAGCAAGATATTAAAGACTGCACCAGAACTCCATCACCACCAGATGACCATTTGAATATAAGGTCAACCAGAGCTTTGACTCCACCAGCCTCAGCAATGGCACCCTGTCAATAATTTTAAACTTACCAAAATTAGAAGTTTAGGACATATATCTTGTGATATAATATAAAGAAAAGCAAAATATTAAACCTTGTGCTCTTCTCCAACTGAAAGGTTCCAAAGCCCTCCAGCAGCCTCTTCAGCAACCAGCCTGTTCATGGACCTTGCCAACCCAGCAAGGATTTCAATTCCTCCTTCTTCTGCAACAGCTTTTGCAACATTTGCATTCACGGACAAGTTTGCTATTGCCTATATCATTAACAATTTAGAATAATCACCAATTCCATGTTTTCAAGAGAAAATCAAGATCAAACGGAGACATGAAATTAATGATCATCACAGCAGAGAGAAAATATAAGAAGAATAAGAAAGCAGATGATAATAGATCAAATTAGACCATTTACGAGACTAGATTATGGTAAAACATTTTTAAAATGATTAGGTCCAATAATCGGGCTATAATCAGTGCTGCTGTTCCATTAAAGAAATTCACCTTAGCAGCCTCTGACTGAAGACCTTCCCTCCAAGATTTTGCAAGGTTTAGAAGGAGACATATGCCACCATCTCGCATAACTGCCTCGGCCCTTCCACAATCTATGCTAGCATTTTCATCATCAATGACCACAAAAGTGGCAAGTCCTGTGGCCGCCCTTTCTTGAACCTCCTCCTGTGAGCTCTGCATTAAACTAAGTAATATTGTTGCGCCTTGCTTGAGCCAAAAATCATCCAAACCTTGTGGATTGCTCTCAGCAGTACGCACAAGGGTATGGGATAGGATCCATTCAAGCCAATTCATGATTTCATCTAAGTTCTTATCCGTGGTATTTAAATTCCTCCAATCCAGAAGGACATTTTTCCCCATCTTTGTAGTATCGGCAAATAAAGAAGCTAGTCCTTTAAAAATGTCAGTGAAAAGAGCAAGTAACAATTTTCCTTTGTATTTATTCGTACTGAAGGTACTATCTTCTTCAAGAAGTGGGCAATTCATTGCACACAAAACCTTCAAGCTAGTTGATAATGATAACAATCTAGAAACTGCACTTGGGCCAATATCTGTTCTTGAAACATCCAACCCGATCAGTTTAGGCAGCTTATGCCAAAGATGGGAGACCACACCCCACTTCATATTTGATGTCCCCGCAACTGAGAGGAATCGAACAGATACTACATTCCCCAATGCTACCTCATCAACGTTTAGACAGTCCAAAAACCCAATATCAATCAAATTCAGGCAATGCTTAGCTAAAGCATTGATGACATCAGCAGAAACATCCCTTAATCCAGACAGCCGAAGTTTCTTTAGTTTCGGACAGCAAAAGGCTATTGCTTTAATAGCATCACTACTTATCCTCTCACAGAAGTCTGGTCCAAGTTGGACGGTTTCAAGTGCTTCGTGCCGAGCAACAATCATAGAAAGAGTTGCATCCGTTATTTTCCTACAGTAATCACCACTTATTTCACGCAAATTCCTTGCTTGAAGATGTATTATTGCATCAGCAGACTCTGCTCCACGAAACCGAATCTTCTGAAGATTCAGACACCTAGATGCAAGTGAAACTGCCATCCCAGGATCGCATTTGTGGGCTCGAAGATCCAATGAAGTCCACAAGCACGAAGAGAGACCTAAAACCCTCCATGTCTTACACGTCGATGACAAGCTTGCACGGTCACGATAATTCAAACAGGAAAATAACTGGATCACAGTATCATCTGGCAAGCTAGTCCAATCAATATCGTCATTACTATCAGGACACAAACCCGCATCTCCAATTTCAGGGTTACTAGGTAATCCCACCTTCTCCTTATTCTTCTTTGCCACTTTCCGCCGCACCCTACGATTCATATCTCAATCAAGTCACCAATTCCCAGTACTTTCCACGCACCTCAACCCTATAACTTTTGAAAAAACAGGCGAAAACCCATTAACATAAACCCTTTAAACTTGAAATCCAAAGCACAAATACACCAATTTCTCACCTCAAAAACCCTAGTCCACAAACAAGTAAATACACAATGCTAAATTGCTTATACAAATCACAAAAGATTGAAAATTTGTAATCTACAATAACCCAACACCGGCAAAACCAAGAGCCCAATAATCATTTAAGTCATAAATGCATTATAGACAATAAAATCAATGGTTTAATCAAACCTGGGTAGCTGGGACTTATTGAATTTTTAAGAGTAAACCCTGAAAGATTGAAGCTTTTTTTGTGGATTAAATCAGTTAGCTTTTCTTAAGGTAACTGCATTCAATAAAGGGTCAATGATGCTTCAATGAGTTATAATAGAGAGACAAAATTGAGGAAAAGAAGCAGAGAATTCAGGTGGACAAATGAGAGAAGAGAAAGGAAACCCTCAAGAAGGCATGTGTGTATCTACTCTTCTCTCCCTTTTTTTTTTTCTTCTCCTTTTTTTCCCTCTTATTAACTTAACTTTGTTGTTAGACAATGGGCAATGCGGGAGAGAGAGAGAGAGAGTTTTGTGGTTTGTTGGGATTGAATTACTTCACTGTAATGAGGTTGTGAATTGTGATAGGTCAGGAAAGGGAGGATGGCGTTGGGGTTAGACTACAGCTCATCCTGCAGTGCATTCACCTCCATCGCATCATAGAGTTATTTTTTTCCTCTCATTAACTATTTATCAGAATTCATTCTACAAACAAAGCCTTTTTTGGTAAAATAATCTGAATTGAACATGAGTACATAAATATCAATAATTAACAGGATATGCAACCTTTTTTTTTTTTTTTTGGGGGGGGGGTTTAAATAATGAGATAGCATGGTTGAGAGCATGTTTTTTTTTCCATTACAGACATATACGAGAAGTAAAATTTTTATGAATTTTTTGGTCATGTGTCTCGAATTATATCGTAAAACTAATAAATTATTTAAACTTAATACATGAAAATCTGATGGTGCCGCTTGATTGGAAAGAAAACTTATATATTTCTCTTAATAAATTATTTTTTATTAAATTTAAATTCATAGTTAGATTAAAATACTCATGAACCAGTCAATTGTTTGACCACTGGTATCACATAAAACTACAAGTTCATGGAGCAATGAATTTTGTTTGTTTTATTTATCAAGATAAAATTATAAATTTTACTTGCAAAAAACTAGAGAGTAGCAAATCAAATATTGTGAAAGTTTGAATTGTTTATAGACTATCCAATGTAAAATCCACGTGCGTTTGCATTAATATTCAAGGTTTTTGTATTGTTTGTTTATGGCCTTCAATAACATCATCCTCTGTTTTTTTCCCCCTATCATTGTTGTGCGAATAATGAAATTCAAACTCTCTCCTGCTTAAACCATTTTTCTTGTCAAATTCTTGCACCAATTTATTGTGTTGGGTTGCAATTCCTAGTCTACAAGAATAGCAAATTTTTACTGATATACTGATGGCTAATAAAAAACTAATACCAAAAAAAAAAAATTGAAGAATTGTGCAATTCATTTAAAAAAAAAAGACTGATCCAAAAATATTTTTATTATTGAATAAAAAAATCGTGCAATCCACAAAAGGTGGGGGGAATGTGAACGAAAGACTTTGGAGAATGGAAATTTTATCTGGCAAGAACAAATGGAATTTTATGTTAACTATTGCCCTTCTAACGTTCAAGATTGGATTGTTTACAATTCCGTAAGAGTGGGCTTGTTGCAAAAACATGAGATGACAGAATTCAAAGACGAGATTTTTTGTTGGTAGGTAGATGGGAAGATTTCCAATGCGTTAAGACGTTTACATAAGTTCCATTGAATAATTTGTGCGTACTCGTTAATGGCTTCCTAAAACTAGAAATGTGCATGTTTCAAATGACATAATTATCCTCCATAGTAACTTCAAGGTTTGATTCGCCTGATATGTGAAGTTAATTCCTATTTTATTATTTTAGATTTGATTAAAATAAGGATAAAAAATTTATTATGATTGTATAAATTCAATCATGTATGATCTTATTTAAGATCTAACTGAAAAATAATTGGTCATGGGTAACAATTTTTTTTTATATAGGATTCGAAACAACCATAATCATCTAGAATCATGGCATTTTCAAACAAAATGATTGTATTCCATCATTATTTGTGAAGATACATGAGAATTGATCTAAAAATAGCATTATAATTGAGAAAAAGAACAACCTATGGTAATCATTGACTGTTATTGTGAGAGTATCATATACCTCTCAGAACCAACTTAATTTAGTTGCCGAAACATAGGATGTTGAAGGTTTTACATTATTGCTAGAGAGATATAGGTCTCTCGTGTAGCTTATCACACGTACTTTAAAAATCATATGCTCGCTGTACGAGATGGTCGCAGTAGTCAATAGATTGGCATGATTAGAGTATAATGGCCCACCCCTTCATGGTTGGAGCAAATTAAACAACGATAAATCCTTAGGAAACTCGTTTGTTTTTCTCATGTCCGTGAAAAAAAAATCAAAAATCATCTGCCAATGGACAAACTCAAGATGATAAAAAAAAATCACCAATTATAAGATACATACGCTACGATAGTTCGTCTAATTTTATTTTTAATTAATTGAATTGAATTGGCATATAAAATGTGTGAGAATTACATATAACAGACAAGTGTATTTGGATTAAAATATAATTTGAACAGAAATTATTTATAACAATGATGAAAATAATAATGATATATTTTTTTATAACAAAGATGACTACTTCGTAAAATTTAACTCATGCATCAAGCAATGGTGATATTTTTTTAGTTAATTTTTCCTCTCTCTCTCTCTCTTCTATTTATCGATATAACCGTAGCAAAGTTCATATAAGTATTCAATTATCCTTTTATTCTCAATAAAAGGAGTCAATTTTTTAATTTATTATTATTATTATTATTTGTCAACTATTGTACTTTTAGGTCATTTTCTCCATTAAGTTTTACATAATTCATTATATATCCGTGTGAGAGAATGACTCTCAAAGAAAATGTAGTTTTTTTTGTGCAATAGTCTCTTTCCTTAAATTTTATAACATAACAACATTCAAAAAGAAAAACAACTCACCATCCGAAAAATAGAACTCGAAATTTGTTTATGGAGGAAAATTGGGATCGAAAAAAAAAAAAGGATTCAATAATTTTACAAAAGAAACTATAGTAAACAATAGTTTTCATGTTCATATACTATTCACCCAGGCATTCTTCACTAAGACTTAGCCACGTTGTGTTTATCCTTTTCTTGCATCTCGGTCATTCATTCTTCATCCCTTTCGTTGTTTGTTGTTTGATTTGTTGATTCTCCTTTTAATATATATTTTTTTCTTTACTGAGTTGATGATCTTCTCGCCCTTCGTTCTTTGTCTATTTTCTTTTATGATATTGGTTTTTTTTTTTTGTCACTTCACTTGTCTTGCTAGAACATTTAATGCTCTTGTCGATCTTTTTTATGCAATCTAAAACACTAAATAATAACTCATTAAAGAGTGTTAAATTAAAAAGGAAAAAGAAGAAAAATATACAATCTAAATTGCATCAAAAATTAAATGACATCTAAAAAAAAGAAGAAACACACAAACTAAAATCGGCAAACCATTAAAACATACTCTCTAAACCAACAATGTAAAAATACACGATAGATCTAAAACATCAAACTATAACCCACTAAATTGCACACAAAATTACAATCCAAAATTATTCAAGAAAACGATGTTATCTCTAAACCAACAATTAAAAAACACACAATAAATCCTAACAACAAATATTTAAATTTCTAAATTCATAAATAAATAAAAAATCAAACTTGAAATTTGAAAATAAAAACTCACAATTCATCAAGAGTACCACCTCTATGAAGAATCCATAACACCATGGTAGTTGTTATTCGATCACAATAGGTGATGGCTAAAGTTTCGGTGGCTATTGATGAGTTATCTAGGCGATGAAGATGGTAGGTTCAAATGGATCTATGGTGTGAATAATGGTGAGGAGAACTAGAACATGTGGGTTTGAGGAGAGGATGACATGATTGGACGAGTAGGTTTTAAGATCCCGGGGTGGTTGCTCGGACATGGAAAAAAGGACAATGGGTCGTGGGTTTTGGTGAATAATAGATTAGCTATTATTGAAAGTTTAAGGCCTGGCGAGAGGTGGTTGTCGTTGGAGGCTTGAGGATGGCGGAAATGGTTATTCGAACAACAATGGGGATAGTGACGGCGGTGGCTAGAAGAAGAGGGAGGATTTTTCTATTATTTTAGGGCTGGTTGGAGAGAAAGAAGGAGAAAATTAAGGAAAATAGTTTTTTTTTCATGTTTTTTTTTTTTTGATCTCGGTACTCTTTTATTTATTTTCAATTTCACCTCTAATTGAGTTTGTTTCCACCCCTTTCTCTTAATTATTTTAATTTTGGCCAAATTCATCTTTAATTAAAGGCTATATTGTGTTTTCAATTCTTTCAATTATGTCCTCCAATTAAACCTTTTGGTCCCTATTTTCTCGCTTATTTCAATTGATACCCGCATGCCTATTTTTTTCTCTAATTTATTGTTTTTTATTTCTTTTATTATTTCTTTTCTTTTATTTTCTTTTCTCTCTTTTTTCTTTATGCTTAGAAATAACTCACAAAAAATTATAAAAATTCATAAAAAGTAATAAAAAGTTTAAATGTTGAAAAAATCAATTTGATTGAACGAAAGTATTTAAAATGGATTTCTTTTTATTTTTGGAAAAATCATGAAAAAAATGATAGTTAAAAATGAGTGCTAACAACAATGATGGAGTAGATTAGGTGGACGTTAGGATTTTCTAGGGACAAAAGGTGGAGAGGCGTGTAGCAATTTGTTGTTGTGGCTTCGATATTTTTTTTTTTGCCGA